GAGAGAGAGAGAGAGAGAGAGAGAGAAGGAAAAGTAGGAAAAGAAAGTGATTTGCTGCTTTCAAGGATTAAAGACGGGAAGCACGAGAGAATTGAAAGCTAAAAGCCAAAGGAAAAGACGAGCAAAGGAGAGGATGCACCATAAAAGATCTCTGAAAGAGTTCCAAGCTTCCAACACAAAGATCCACAATCACCCGTGTCCTCCAAGATCCGCACCAGGCAACATAAAATCAAAACCGAGGTGCAGCACAACCAGATCTCGAGCTCATGGATCTTACCTGATGCCACGGAGCAGTATCCATGCAGGGAAAGCTTCACAAGGCCCGGGCCGAGGAGCAGTCTCCAGAAGGAAGCCAAAGAGGAACGATGAGAAGAAGAGAAAGCAGCAGGTGTCTCGAGACAAGGAATACTTAGAAGAGTCGGCAAAGCAGCTGCGGCAGTGGAATGGTGATGTGGTGGTGCTGTCTTCCGTAGCTTTTAGAGAGAGAGTGGTAGAGAAAGGAAACCATTTCTATTGTTCAAAGTCGTGTATGATTCTTTGGCTGCTATTATAATGTCAAAATTTTCCAGATCGCTGTGTGTGATTCTACCACACTTTTGCCAATGGTGTACCAGCGACTTGGGAAGGCCGTACGACCCGTTGTTCCACATGAGTGCGTGATGACGTGGCACGCGCCTCCACGTGACACATGGGTCCTCCCGGAATTGTTTTGACAAAGAAAAAGAATAATTGGGCTGGTTGATATTAAAATTGTATATTTTTTAGTAATAATAATAATAAATTTATAAGTCCTAACTATTCGGGATCAATCAGATTTTTTGTCACCATTCTAAACTTAACAATATATTTATATTTTTTTTATTAATTTTTTTAGATCATCATTTATTTCTTCTCTATCGAATCGATACCCTAATTATTCATGAATAAAATATTTTTTATTTTCATAATAATTCCATACGTCAATCTCAATATTTTTATCTCAATAACATAAATTATATGTATATAATTTTAATTATTACTTCTCATAATTATAAAAGTATTGATCGTCATATAATTATTTTATTTTATTTTTAACCTTAAAGGTATCCTACACATAAGACGTTCTATAATCTTAGTCATCTTGGTTTTACAATGTTAATAGAATTTTCATTAGATTTGATATAATTTTATGTTAATTATTAATGATCTAAAAGCTATTGTAGAAAGGAGATGGCTCAATTAACTAAATTACGTGAAGGGACAAAGACATCTTAATTACCAAATCTTAAAGGTACTGATCTCCAAGTTGGTCTTCTTATTCTCGTGTTCTCTCTGACAAAATAGCGAACAGTTATCGCGCAAGTCATGAAATGACTCGTGCACGTTTCTGTCTAATTCATAATTAAATGCGATGGACACTGAGTTGAGTTTAGCAAGAAGACTATTAGCAGAGGTTGAGACTTTACTCTAATGGTTGCAGACCAAGCAAAATGGCAACTCCACAGACGTCACAAGATCCGCCACTGTCAATCCGATTCCTTAGTGCTCTCGTGCTAGCTGCTGTTGTTCTCGTCTTCCATGGCGTTGGTTGTACCTCCATTTGGGACTTAGTGGATGGGTTTGGTGCATCCGTGACTCGGTGATCCTCCACCAAAGGAAATGGTCATCGACCGCAGGCCACATTGCTGGGTTTGGTTGCTCTTCTTGTCTGATCTCCTCTCGTTTTGGTGCAATGAACAACACAACACATCGACAAACAAATAGTTAGCAGTCCGAATGAGATATTTTTCTTCGACGTACAAAAAGTGTTAAATCAGGTAAACTATATATTTGTCTTTTATTATAGATTCTCTCATTTTCTATATACATGTATGAAATGATATTGTTTAAAGTATTTTTTTCTTCGATTAAGTCTTTTATTTTTTGGATGAAATCTGAAAAAATATCTTTAAAAAAATTTCGTTGAAAATATCAATATACTCGTATCTCTATTGGACTCGTCATTGCCACTACCTCCCCTCTGTTTTATCTTGTCGAACCTATCTCACCCTCGCATGATGAAGGAGGGTGCATGATCATCCTTATCATCCTCATCTGTGACCCTCACATGCAGGAGAGGATTCAGTAGGGTCTAAGGAGACAATGATGATTCTCACATAATGAAAGAGGGGCACTACGACGACGATCGTCGTGAAGGGGAGGGTCTGATGAGGTCGTCATCGTCACTTATTGCATAGAGATAAAGATAGAGGTGACAACAAATCCAATAAAACAGACGAGAGGAGATGAGAGGTGGAGATGAAGGCAACGATGACGACAGATACAGAGGGAGCCAAAGGTAAAATAGTTATTAAAAAAAAATGAAACACTTTACAAATTTTTTTAAAACTTGGAGTTACAATTTGTCAGTTATTTTTTATAAGAATTCACTCTCTTTTCGTTATATTCTCTTTTTAGTTTCCTATCTCCAAGTGCGTCAGGTAGAACTCTTTGAATTCTCAACTACAGCATCACCAAAGCATACTTGTGAGAACCAAATCTGATTCTTTTGACACTGTCCATCGCACAGAAAAAGAGGGGGAGAGAGAGAGAGAGAGATTCAAGTCCTTTGAGTACTTTAAAAGTGACTATTTCGTATAATAAAGTACAGAATTTTTATCATGGTCCCACAGCCGTGTGTGTGGATACGAACAGGTGTATTTTCTCGTTCAAGTGTTTTCCACCACCGAATCCGTAAAAGCCGGAATGCGAACCTCAAAAATCAAGCCACATTGTGAGGCCAAACTTTATCTGGATTTTGTTCCTCCACTGGTGGCTGGCGGATTCCAAGTCCAACCAAATCCTTGTTAGATTTGATAGTGTGGAAAAAGAATGGACACAAAGTCAAACTCAGCCTCCCCATCCCTGTCCCCTTTGCAGATGAGAAGCCATGAACAGCCCATCCTCTCCTCACCCCTGCGCACGGCGTCCCTTCTCACAGCACCCACCACTTCAAGGTTACCTCGCCCAAAAGGCATCACGATGGGCAAACTACGTGAGCACCATAATTGTTTTCGTTGAAGCAGTTAAGGATGCGAAGAAATGCGGCAGGGAATTGAAATGGTCAGCCGACTGCACCTCAACGTTGAAGTTGTCATTGCGCTTTGTTCGCCTTGACATCATCGGCTGTTCCGAAGAAGTCATTGAGTGGATCATTAAATGCTGAAGCTAACAGCCTTTCTCTTCTTTCTTTTGACTGAGAAAAATACCTGAGAACCAGAAGAGATGATTAAAACAAGGAAAGCATCTCACAACTTGTTAGCTACGGTACGTTGTTGCCCAAGAAAGGAAGTGTAGGACCGACAGCGTATCCATCTTGGATCCTCCATTCCACTGTCACGTTTCCTACTGCTTGGCTCACTCGAATCATGAGGTTCTTCAGTGTTCTGTAGATTGATTGACCCAATACGTAGCCTTCCTTTGTGCCGGTTGCACAGAGATGAGAGAGAACAAGTTACTATCGAGGGACATATTGGTGCCTCTCTTCTTTCGTTGAGCAATGCTCTCATGGTGGCGGGCTCACCAAAACAAAGTCGAGCGGATTGGGCTAACCCGATCATAGCTCACTTCGTGAATTGGCTGCGACCGACCACCTCAAAGAAGGAAATGGACGGTGGTTGGGACGCTGTCCTGTTCACCATCTCACGGACACAGGCGTCCTCTCCAAGCTAAGCTTCACTCGCCCCTTCCCCCCTACGTTGTGACATCCGAGTCTAAACCTCTCCCTGTAATTACCGTTCGGCCCTACGTCCTCGGTCATCGACGTGGCAATTGCTTTACGATTCGCGCACGATCTCGATGAATGTCATCATCGAGAGCGCGTGCAGTGACTTCGATGAACGGGTAGGATGCTCCCAAGTGGCATCTGTCAAGATTCGTGGACGCCGACCACGTGTGAGTCTCGCGTTTAGCGAGCAATAGTGGATTGTGGAATACGTTTCTGTAAATATTTGTGTGTGTTTATCCATTACCCTTAAAATTGGATTAAGAACTTAATCAAGATTATCTAATTTGAAATTACCAGACGTGGTATCTGCTGTCATCATCGAGTGCGTACAAAGACTTCGATGGACGTCTGGGATGCTCCCTTGGGACCTTGGAACGTGCCTACATGGATCGCAAGTGGCACGTGTCAAGATTCGTGCGGCATCTTAAAAGCGTGAGATTTCTATCGGTGGACGCCGACCACGTGTGAGCCTCGCGTTCAGGGATCAATAGTGGAATACGTGTCTGTAAATATTCGTGTTTATCCATTGGGTTTAAAAGGGGCTTAAGCTCTTAATCAAGATTATCTAAGTTATGCTTAACTTTAAAGTAGCTGATACGTGGTTCCATCTATGCCGGTAGGGCATATTTCTGCAAGAAGGCAGTAGGCCGCAGGCGATTTCCGTCTTTTGGTCGAGCGAGAGAGGAAATGGGATCGGATTTTGGCACTAGCAGCGGCAAGCGGGCGGCAGATAAAGAAAGAGGGAGAGGGAAGGCAGCGGCAGCAGCGGGAGGTGGAGAGAACGATGAAATAGGACGTAGCAGTACCCACGCGGAGAATGGACAGCGAATCGAGATAACATACATCGGACGGAGAGCGAGTGTGAGCGAACTCCCAACCTTGTTCTTCCCGCCGCGCGAGCTCCGAACTCGAGCCCCCCTCGCCCCCCTCTCTTTTCTTTACTCCAATATCGATTTTTTTTTTTTAATTGCTGGGAATCGAATTTTTAGTCCCCTACCTGGGCCGGGGACGAGGGAAGGGAGGGAATCGGAGAGCCGGGATTGCTGCGGAATATGGCTGACGGGTGTTCTCCGAACCCGATGGGCGTCCAGGTGAGGTGCTCCTGTTCCATTCGGCGTCGTACGTGGAATGTTGTGGTGGATTGTCTATTTTGGGTCTAAATTTGTTCTTTTCGTCTAAATTCCTGTTTCCTATTCATCAAAATCGAATCTTGATCCCTATCATTCCCTGGAGAGATTAGGGCTTAGGAGTCTTCTTGGTTGAGGAATGAGGTTTTCTCACGGGTTGGAAAAGTCGGTATTTCCGTTTCAATCAATGAATTCTTAGTTTACTATAACGAAGCACCGGGCGTCACGATTCATTCCCTCTGGTTGCAACTTGTGATCAGTGTCGCAATCGAAGCAACCCTAGTTGCTGATTCTATGGTGATTGTGGAGCTTTGTTTATCTCCCCTTAACTGATTCCGCAGCCGAGGGAATGAAGGTCGTGTTTACTAGTTTATAATTGCATTGATGGTTTTCTTTTCTTGAGATGATATCCGTTTCCTTTTCATGGTTTTGAAATGAGGAATTGTGGCTCTAAGTTTCATATTTCAGGAAGAAGAGGAGGATCTGTTCTTCGAGTCGCAGGAAGACGTCTTGTCCGTGTTCGATTCGTGTCTGGGCAGCCCAACAAAGGATGATTTCTTGCTGGAAGATCAGTTCGTTAGCCAAGGGTCGATAGGTCCCCTGTGCGATGTCTGGATTACGAGTTCCGATGGCGCGAGGGAACGCCGAGATAGGTTCATGAGATGGATGGGCATAGATCTCATGAACGGCTCGTTTCTGAGTTCCTCTGATCCGGGTGGACAAACGCAGGTCGATGATGAGATACAGACAGATACTGATGGGATCATGTCGAGTTCTGGGTCTGTGATGAGAGGCTTTGATATAGATAATAAGTATTCAATCTCCAGCGGGTCTACAGAGGATGAGCACCCATCCTGCAACGAGGCCTTGGAAGAGTGATTGGTGTACAGAATCAAGAATTTGGATGATAGATTCGTAAGTCCTCCTAAAGTTGGTTCAAATCATATTGTACCATTTGATGAATTCAAGGGAAGTTTGGGTCCATCATCTTTATACCAGCAGCTCATGCTACGAGAAGATAAAGCTTCAAGCAAGTCTGACAGTTACAGTGAGGAGGAAGAGACCTGGTTGGCTGAGGAAACTGGGTGCTGTTGCTTGCATTGTGGATAGGCAAGGTGAGGAGAGTAATTCATCTTTTCATGACAGCGATAAGAGTGGTATTGCTGGGTCTGGGAGAGTGAACGTTAAGCCTTGTGGGAAGCGGTCCAAGGAATTCTCTGCAGTCTACAAAATGCAAGATATTAAAGCACATGATGGTGCGATCTTCACCATGAAGTTTAGCCCTGATGATCAGTATTTAGCTAGTGGAGGTGCAGAAGGGATTGTGCGTGTGGCATGTCATGGTTTGTGAAAGGACAAATGAAATTAGCGTCCCTGACGATGATCCTTCTTGCATATACTTCACAGTGAATCATAGTGCTGAATTAACTCCAGTGCATGCTGATAAGAAGAACACATTCAAGTCCAGGGATATGAGGAGAAGTGCGGATTCTGCTTGTGCTGTTATCCCCCCTGATGTTTTTCTGTTATCTGAGAAACCACTGCATGCATTCCATGGGCATGATGCAGGTGTGCAACCATCTTTAACAGCTCACTTTTAAGCTTACATTTCTCACTTTTGCTTTCAAGCTTCCCAAGAATTAAGTTATTTGCATGCAGCATCTATTGTCATCTTCCAAGGACAAAACTGTTCGCCTATGGCAAGTTGGATCTGGTAGCTGCCTCAAAGTTTTCTCCCATATCAACTATGGTGGTTGCTTGTTAAAATATGTTTGTGTATTTTTTTTTACAATCCTTTTGTTGTAGTCATTGTGATTTATTCTGCTTTATTGTCAAATAAATAATGCAGTGACATGTGTTCAATATAATCCTATTGACGAGAATTACTTCGTAAGTGGATCTATAGATGGGAAAGTTCGTATTTGGAATATTTCCAGAGGTCAAGTTGTGGATTGGGTTGATATTAGGGAAATAGTCACTGCAGTTTGTTTCCACCCCAATGGGAAGGTATATGTTAGTCACTTCAGCTTGTGATCATTTTCGAATATCGATGTTCAAGAAAATCTATTTAGTAATATTTCTTGGTTCTTACAGGGAGTGGTTGAAGGGACCCTGACGGGTGGTTGTTGTTTTTATGATGCACCAGGTAAATGTTAACCTGTTAACAAATATAAAAATTATTTTGTTTGCATTTTGCATATCATTGCATGAGCAATACTTGGATCCTATCTTATTATTTTTGTTATATGTTAGAATATTTCAGCTTGTCGAAATATTCCGGCATGTTGCTGTTGTTGTTAGAATATTTCAGCCTGATAGTTATAGTTGTAGCAGGAACCTAATTTGGTTGTTTTGGCAACCTTTGGTTACAATTTATGTTTTATTGATTATGCCATCTGAACATGGGTATATCTCAAGTTATATGGTACAGGACTTTCTTCTACTGCAGCTCCAATGGTTACACATATTTGTAATTTGGAAAGCCTCACAAATTTCAGATGAAGATGTATATTCTTGGTAGTGGAACCTTAATATGTTCGGGACATTGAACTTTAAACACATCATCAATGAAAACAATTGTTTGGATTGTTATTATGTGTGTGTATTTAGTGTAGCATATCTTTCGAGAAGGCCATCCTGCCTGAAAATGCAGTCATTTATCTTTCAAAGACAAACACGACTTTGGATTTTTAATGGATGTAATCACTTTGGTGAATATCTGGCCACAAGTTCTTGACCATCTTGATTCATCTGGTCTTCTGTAAACAATTATTCAGATTGTTGCATGTGTGTATTTAGCGTAGCATGTCTTCCGAGAAGTCTATCGTGCCTGAAAATGTGGACGTTTGTCTTGCAAAGACAAACATATGACTTTGGCTTTTTAATGGATGTAACCACTTTGGTGAATCCTGGCCACAAGTTCTTGACCATCTTGATTCATTTGCTCCATTTCGTCTTCTGTAAAAATCTCTTCTTGCATCTCCTACATTATTAGTTACCTTTTTTTTATTGCATTCCATCTGGACTGATCAATACTTCTGGCTGCATTTGTCCTGACTTTATCTTTTTACCCAATACAATCTGCTAACAAATATTTGGTCACTAAAATTCTTTCCAACACCTATTTTGCTGGTTTTGTATTTACTATGTTAAAATTGGATGTAGTATATTTCTGCACATTTCTCTGTGCTTTTATCTTTATGAGATAAAGAATTACCATTATTATAAGATTCTTCACCAAACAAGGAATATAAGATTTGTCTTTGGAATAGACTGCTTCCTAGTTTCACACATATTCAAAGTTGTGCTAATACTACTATTATTGGCACTATGTGCTTTTTTCCTTTCTCTTACAGACTCTTGTTTAATTGATGTACAGTGATGTTCTTTACATATTTAAAGCACTTTGTATGAGGTCACTTACTGCTCCCATTATCCTTGTGACAGATAATCATCTTCAAATAGTAGCTCAGATAAAAAAAAAGTCTCTTAAAAATCAGATAACTGGATTTCAGGTAGCTTCCACGGAACATCAATTCTTCACAATTGGTAAAAGTTCTTATGTGCTCTCTTCTAGTTTCTCGTTTCTGCACTTTGGTTTTGTTTCACCTCCAGTTTTGCCCAAGGGATCCTCAAAAATTGATGCTCACTTCTGCAGACTCACATATTTGAATATTTGATGGTGTTGACTTGGTCACCAAATACAGGGGTATCCTCTTTGTCACGTTAACCTATTTCCATGATTTTTGTCCATCAGTTCTCAGATATGTCAATTTCTATTTCAGGTTTTTATACCAGAAGTCAGATATCTGCAACTTTTACTGCAGATGGCCAGCATATCATCTCTGCCAGTGAGGATTGCAATTTCTCTGTCTGGAGCCATGTTAGCCATGACATCCGTATGTCCAACCATGTTAAGAGCATATGGTCTTGTGAGCATTTCTTCTCCACCAATGCTTCCATTGCAATACCTTGGCATGGTTTGGAATCCAGTTATCGGATATCTATGACCTCTGACGTTTTCCATTCGCAACAAGTTAACGGTGACCAATCTGGAGTCACAGAGAATGAATCTAAATGTCATTTACAAGATTCAGATGGTGAGGTACTGTATTTATCACCATCTGGGAGTTTTACGCTGAGCCATGATTTCTTCTCAGAGCTTCTGCCAAAGAGCTCAGCAACATGGCCAGAGGAGAAACTTCCCTCAAATTGTGCTGCATCTAGCGTGTCCAAATCCCGGTACAAGTTCTTGAAGACATCTTGCTAGAACACCTCCCATGCCTGGGGTCAGGTAATATCAACTGCTGGATGTGATGAATGGATCAGATCCTATCAGAATTTTGGTTTGCCTGTACATATATGACTAATTTCACCATCGAAATGGTCGATGTAATGTGGCACACCTTTTCGACCAAAACTGAGTGACTGACAAAGTTGATGCAGCTGAATCATCTGGCGATCTTTGTGCGGGATCACATGCTCATTGTTCCTGCCAAAATGTTGCGGAGCCTTACTGTATATATGTGCTGGAGGTCCTCAAATATCGTGGCTGCATCAACAGATCATAGCAAGTGCAGGAGGTTCACATCCTTACGGAACTATGCATTGCAGGTAAGATCTCGAGGCAGTCGGGGGTAGATGTTACTGTTTGATAAACAAATTTTATTTAATTATACTGAATTCTTTCATTTATCGAAATTTAGATGTTCATTTTTTGTCCTTGAAAGTGGTTGATTTCTTAACGTGGTGATGCCAAATGTTTGTGATGGATTTCTCAGATGCATCTGTGAGCCGTGAGCTTTTCCTAAATAGATTCTCCAGCGTGTTGTTTGGTGGTTGTTTGTGCTCTGGCAAGAGTGAATTAAACCCTTTCTGTTAGATCATGAAAGATGTTGCATGTCTAGATAAAGTTCAACTATGTTCTCATCTATTGGTAGATCTATTAGACTAACATTGTATATTCTTCCAGCAGATGATTAGAAGAAAAGTAGAAGCAGATCGATCAAGAACAAAAAAGGAAGAGAAGTGAAGAAGACGACGACAATCTCAGCCACCTTACCGGTGCGGTTTCTATCTTACCTCTGTTTCCCTCTTATCAGTAGTACATGTCCAATAAGTATTCTTCACTAACATGCAGAACAGCTATTTCTGCAAATAAATTTATGCCAACATGTGCAACACCTTTACATCTGTGGAATTCGTGGCTCAGCACCTTGGCAGATCCGCTGGGGGATGAGGAAGCGACTCCATGGTACCATTTCCGTCCTTCACGACGAACGCCATGGCCAGCCCCCAGCTCGCGTGCACCTCGAGGTGGCAATGCACGAACCAAACACCTGGATTGTCGGCGACGAACCGGATCGCGGCCCATCCTCCGGCGGGGACGCCGATTGTGTTCATGTATGGCGGATCGACCAGGTTGAGCTTCGCCGTCATCGGGTTGTAGTTGCCGGTCCCGTGGCCGACGACGTGGAAGCTGTGGCCATGCAGATGGACGGGGTGGTTCTCGGTGCCCACGGTCCCTGTGTTCTGCAACACCAGCTGCACCCTGCTCCCGAACTCCAGCACCTTCACCCTCGTCCCGTTCAACGACTGGGTGTCGTTGGGCGCGCCATCGACGAAGTCGTAGTTCTTCAGTGGCACTCCGGGGAAGTCCTCGGTGTAGTAGCCGTTCATGTTGTCGTAGTAGGCTTGCAGCAGCGAAACCATCGGCTCGACGAAGGCGATGTTGTTCATGACCGCAGCTAAGACTCCGCCGTTGGGCCCCTGGCAGCTTGCGTTCGGGTGGGACGAGTGGCACTGCTCCACGGTCAACCCGATGGTGAAGAGCAGGTTGGCGTCGACGACGAGGGGAACGCCGGTGTCGTTCAGGCTTCGCAGGTTGTTCAGCGCGAAGTCGACGGTGAGGCTGTCGTTGAAGGCCGGGAACTCGGCCGGGCGACTCGGGGCTTCGGGGCCGGCTCCGGAGTAGCGGAAGTGCGCGACGGCGGGGGTGTTCTGGAAGGGGACGTTATGGGCGGACATGAAGGGTGCCATGGCCATGTCGTAGGTGTCGATGGGCTGGTCCGCCTGTACGAGGACGTTGATGGTCTGCCCCGGCGCTATCATGAGGCTTTCGACCGTGAGAGGCTTAGTGTACTCGCCGTCGGCCTCGACGATAGTCATCCGGTGGTCGGCGATGGCGAAGAAGTGCTCCGTGTTGAGGGACGCGCTTACCAGCCGCAGCAGGTAGGTCTTACCGGGAACCACGGCGATCTCGTAGACGTCTGCAGAGAGGCGGAACCCGATCAAGTTGTTATCTTCACGTAGACGTCAGCTCAGAGGAGTTTTACCAGTGGCCGAGCAGTTGTAGAGCGGCCCGGGGCTGCCATTGATGAGGTACGCATCCGCCGGCGGAGCTCCGCCGCCGCTCGACATGACATCCTCCTCGAGCTGCAGCACGTCCTTGTGCCAGTACTCCGCTGTCACCAATCGTGGGATCATCACTAAATGGCCTCGAGAATTCAACTCAAGGATCAGGGAAGACGTTACCGAAGACCAAGCTGTGCTCCTCGTAGGGGTGGGGGAAGGGATAGGGGACGCCGGTCTTGGGGTAGACGACGATGGCTCCGTGGACGGTGGCGCGGAGCCATGAGACGTGGGCGTGCCACAGGAGCGTGCCCTTCTGCTGCACCAAGGTGAACTCGTAGGTGTAGCTGCGGCCGGCCTGGATGGGGCACTGCGTGATGTACGACGGCCCGTCCGCCCAGCACGACAGCCTCTGCCTCACTCCATGCCTGGAACAAGAACACCACCAAAACAATGTGAGGCTGAGAAGAGGAGAGAAGACGATGAACCATCAAAGGAAGAAGGATTACCAGTGAATGGTGATGTTGTGAGGGGTCTGGTTGGTGACCCTGACGATGACCCGGTCGTCTTCCTGCGCATAAATCACCGGTCCTGGAAACTTGCCGTTGACGGTGACGATGTCATTCGTCTTACACAGCTTGGTAACTCTTAGGGTTTGAACCTTCGCGACAACAACATATTAGATCTCTTTACAAGCAGCTTGCAATGAATGCAACAGAGAGAGAGAGAGAGAGAGTGAGACCTTGAAGTGGTAGAAGCTGGTGGAAGCTCCCACAGGCCAATACGCGCGGGCGAAGCTGAGGGGGACGTAGTACGACAGCAACAAGCTCAGCCATAGAAGAAGACAGGAAGACCAAGCCATCTCTGGGGTTGCAATGGACTTGAAGGAGCAGGGAAAGCGACCTTCTCCTACTGCTCACAGATGTGCATGAGAGCAGAGATGCTCTGTACGAGCTCTGGCAAGAGGTGAGTCACTGAGAGTGCAAGCCTCATGCACGTTGTCCCTCAATTATAAGTCTGTCAGGAAGAGCTGTAGTGCCATGGAGATCATTATTCTATGAGCTTTTTTGGTGGCTTTCTCCCCCCTCCTATTGGCCCCCAGGAATAATAATACTATAACACCAGTTGAACACATACAAAGTGGCACAGGTCACAGCCATTGACTCAGTAGCATCAAAAAATTCCAACTGCACCTCCAAGTAAGAAGCTCCGATTCCATACTTCATGATGCAAACTTTTTAGATCTCAAGAGAAGTTTCGGGACTTCTATAATGAATGCATTATGATGCAGAATGTGATACATATGGCCTGCAACAGCTCAAAGCATGAGTGATCGATTAAAATAATCACATTAATTGAAGCTCATGAACTATATTTCTTCCCTTTGTGTAGCTAATTCTATGCTTCTAACAATTAACATTAAAATATTAGAGAGAAGATTAATCTTGCTTCTAAATCATGAGGTCTCAAATGATGTTGAATCTGACTTGAAACACACCCCTTTCTGCTCATTCTTTTGCATACTACAACTAAACTACTAGGAGGTCACTAATTCGATTTGATCGATTGTATTATACGACCAGAAATCTTCCCAGTTCTGTAGTAAAAGATCTGACGAGCCAACGAGCACAAATGAAGGTAACATTAGGAGTTGTTGTTACTCAAGATCTATCTAAATCTAAATTCTTAATGAAGAATTAGCTGTCACTATCAGTTTATGTGGTTCTTCAACACACATAATTAGAGGAAGACTATTAGTTAGCATTACAGCTCTGTTTTATGTCTTCCACATGACACGAGTTGTCAAATGAGCAGTTAGCCTAAACCCCATGTTGATGAGAGCTAATGGCCAGCTTTGGTGCACTACTCCCTGCTAATAGTTCTCTTCCAGAATAGATCTGTCTCAGTCCCCCCCCATAGTAGAGGGATCAATAAAAAAAAAAGAAAAAGTACATGACTAACATGTCATCAGCATTCTAAATTAAATTGACTTATAAGAACTTGATGGAACATATTATTATTAATCTAAATATATATTGAATTAATATTATTAATTTTAACTTAAAGTATTTTGGATGATAATTCATGCCCATCAAATTAATAGATCAATTATCACATCAAATTAAGTTATGATACTAATCTTGCAATATTATATATATATATATAATATAATATAATATAATATAATGATTAGTAGTGACATGAAGGAAAAAAAAGGCAGAAAGGGTTTGGATAAGCCTTTAAAATTATTGTCCAAGAAAAAAAAGAAACTAGATTAATTTCTTCAAATGACTATAAAGAAAATTCTTGTTGCCGAATTTTTGGAATCTAACATGATCCACCTAAGCACGAGCCATCCACGATAAAACGTATTTTGGTATGTCCTTTATGCATTGTATAAGATGTGGTATTTCCTTTATCTAGACCTTTTTTTTTATTGTACAATAAATAAAATATTTAATATCATTTGATCTTATACTCATGTCTCAATATCGTGAGTCAACTGATTAATAATTCCATTTTGATCCTTTAATCACAAACCAAAATACTCATCTGGCCCATATAAGTCAATCATACATATTGTCCACTTCCGACGTGGGACTAATGGGATATTACATTTAGAGTTTTTAAATCTTTATTTTATAATTTTAATTAATTTTTTAAAAAAAAATTCTCGGTATCTAGACATCTTTTAAGCAAAATGAAAGTATAAACTATCATTACCCAATATAAGTTGTTCATAGGTATTATCCATGAGGTGCAAAAATGACAGAGAAACAAAAAACATGATTTTTTTCTTTCAAAATAAAAATTGATATTGATCGTTTCAATGAATTAAACGGACTTGTTTTTTATTAATTTTATATATACAAAATAAATGGATATGAACCAGAATTAAGTAAGTGCTCAAAAAGCGATGGAACAGTTGACAGTCCTAACAGAATTAAACGGTATCAGACCCTACAGTGCGTGCCATATATATGTCTCTGTTATCGTCCTCCGTCCTCCAGAAAAGAAGTGGAAAGCATGATGTGGAGTTTCATGAGAATGATGTGAATGTGGTCCAAAACTATCTCGTGACTCGATAAAGAAGGCGTTAAGAGATGCCACATATCTGATAAAAGACATGCCTACCATCGATGGACCAGATATCAATCAACTTTGCGTTGGGAACACTTTTCTTCTTCTTCTTCTTCTTCATTTATATATCATATAGGGCGTGAGACATGAAAATATTAATACCTCTGACTGCAAGCCATAACCGGATAGAAATTTTCTTTCTCAATCGATATAAAAAGGGAAAAAAGAGAAATCATTAAAGAAGAAAAGGACGAAAAAGAAAGAAGTTGGAGGACCATATGTTCTTGGGAAAAGTAACCATACCTAAAAGGGCGACACACACCTCTGATATCTTTCGTAAGTTTATGATAGACGTATCATAACCTTTTCTAATATACTAACCCATATAACACTACTATTCATCCTTCTTTTTATCTGTCTATTAAACTACATTTTTATATTGTTATATGTGTATACATAATAATCCCGCCATGATGCAAAGAAGCTACCTATTTATTCTATGGAACCGCCACTGCACGTACGGCCGGCTGTTCCTCTTATGATCCGACTCCTGTAGCACACCTACGCTGCTGCTGTCCCGCGGTACTCTTTTCCGTATCCTTCTCCCTCGCCTATCCTCTCTCTCTCTCTCTGTTGTTCTTTTGTAGGTCAACTATGCATATGGTTCTCTCTCGATGCGTTGCGTCACATCTCATCGTGCGGTTTGTCCGAGGAGAGCGGCGGTTCGAGCCCGAACCAGGTCCGGTCGGGCCTCGGGGCCGTCATGGCCTCCGAGGCGTGCCACAGCCGGGCGGCCTCGTGCGGGCTAGACGCCGACGACGACGGCGACACCTCGTTGCAGTCCGCGAAGTACTTCCCCGACACGCCTGCCAACCGCGGGTGCGTCGCCGCGTAACACGTCGTCGCTGCTGCCTGCGATGCGCCAGACGAACTCCTTAGTTCTGTTTTCTCGCCACGACCACGTGCGAGAGTTGGGCGGGCGCACTCACCTGAGGGATGGTTTTGAGGAGCTTGGACGCAAGGAAGAAGGCCAGATCTGCCATCGGTAGCGAAGATTTCAGATCGAGTAAGAGATCAAAGGTCTTACAAGTGTGCAGGGCAGAGGAAGACCTGTGACGAGGCCTTCCCGGTCGCGGGTGAGTCGAGTGCGAACGATGCCGGGATGGACGCAGTTGGCCGTCACATTGGCGTCCATTTGCTGAGGTTAAGATTAAAGAAACCGATGCCAGTTAATAATAAAGATAGTAATAATAAGATGGGCATCGGAATGGGGCACGCATGCATGTGATGGGCAGAGGTTTATGGGTCAGACGGCGGAGAAGAACCTCGAGTCTTTGGGTCAGCTCTCTCGTATGGAGGACGTTCGCGAGCTTCGACAGTGCGTAGGCTCGCGTGGCATCGTAAGGTCTGCACACCAACAAAATAAAGATCTCTGTGGCCTTTTAAGAATATGTGAATTCGATCGAGAGAAAAAAGGAAGAATTAATGGAATTAGTGAAGCTTACGCTTTCTTGCGGGTCATCAGGTCGAGATAACCGAGGCAGTCGCCGAAGAACCACCCGTGGATGCTCGACGAGACGTTGACGATGCGACCTTCGATCCCCGTCTCCCTCGCCGTTTCCGCCATTTTATTTAGTAGCAGCTTGGTGAGCAAGAAGTGCCCTAAAACAAAGTTTTACCACCAAATAATAATAATAATAATAATAATAATAAGCTGGATGAAGACCTAAGTAGTTGGTGGCGAAGGTCATCTCGACGCCGTCCTCGGAGACGGCGTGCTCGTAGGAGAATTTCCCGGCGTTGTTTCTGTTAAATTCACCGTTAGTTTTTGAAATCTCATACACAGAGAGAGATTAGAGGGGGCGGTGAAAACAAGATTGGGGGAAGAGATATTAAAAGGTGGCGTACATGAGGAGGTTGAGGGGGAGGTTGAGGGCGAGGAAGCGAAAGACGAAGCATCGGACGGAGGAGAGGGAGCTGAGGTCGAGGGGTAGCACGATGATCTCCGCCCCGGGGAACTCCCCCGTAATCCGCGCCCTCGTCTCTTCCGCTGCCTTCAGGCTCCTCGCCGGCAGCACCAGCCTCGCCCCCCGCATCGCCAGCACTCGCGCCGTCTCCGCCCCGATCCCCGACGTTGCCCCTGCGGATCGTAAGACATTGATCAGCACAGTTCTTATTTCTTTCTTTCTGTCGATCAAATGGATTTACCAACCGGTGATGATTGCCGTGATGGAGCCGAGCTCAGGGGCCGCGGCCGTGACATCCTCGCCGGTGGATTTGGAGCCGAAGCCGCTGGCGCCGGTGGATCCGATCAGGTACTTTACCGTCTCGAACATTTGCGTTCCGATTCAATTCTTCCTTCCTCTGTCGTGTGTCGATTTCCTTCGGGTTCACCTTAAAAAGTCACAAGGGTTTGATTGAGGTGAAAAGAGAGTAGAGGGAGAGAGAGAGAGAGGAGCTTTTGCTTTTTGGAACGAGCTACGCCTCGTTCGAGTGTCAGATACAAGGGGAAAGGCGCCGCTCCACATTTATAACTGAAGCGGGGAAGCGAAGGGTGACTATAAAACGGTTTTAGTATATACCGGGAGTTTCGATGTTAATAACGGGCACAGTGAATAATCTAATATATCGGGATGAAAAATGAAGGATATGTGATAAAAGAGGATGATATGATCTGCAACTTGTCATGAATGTGATGTGCTCTTTCTACCAACTTTACGTTGGTATCGTAGAATTAGCAATAGAATTTATTGCAGGAAGCAAAATGCATAGTGTGACAAAGATTGTGGAAAGTTGACGCTGATTGGGTGAGGATGGAAAGGTGTATAGAAGGATGAGGTGGCTCATGGACCCTCATATAAGGACTAGCTATGAGAGATTGTGGTTAGAGAGCACTGCTCGATCTCTCGGTGTCCCCTAACATGTAGTTTGTAAGGACAATTATTGGCAAACCACAGCACGAGATCTCATCTAAATCACGACGACTCCACATGCAATGGGGAAGGCAGTGTCTCCGATGGAGCCATGCGGTCTTCCCCGGAGTAATAACACCTTGACTTCCTCGATAACCCTAAGAAATAAGGTTCGCATACTCAAAACCCCTATCGACATCTAGGATTGCCTGCGACCAAGCAGCGGGGCTCCACACACGAGCAAAGAATGAGCCTGACCTGCCCGAGGTACACCGCCAAAAGCAACACGATTCATCGATGGTCGCTCTCTCCGGCCCCTCTCTACGGCATGTCATGCCGCACTCCCGGTACGGCCGTGGGTTAGCAGTTGGCGATCACCTCGTCGCCCTGTGAGTTCCCATGGAACAGAACCTTTCTTTTATTCCATTGGAGCGGATCCGATCCCTACGATTCTGGTGTTTCCTGGTGGTATCGGAGGCTTTGGACGCGTACGATGGACGTCCAAGGCTGTGTAGATTCTTCCTCTGAGGTGCAGTCTCCTCCTCCACGATGTGGACACGACCGGAGGCACACGGGCCGTCTGGTGTAGGGAGGGCGGAGGGCTCCACGCCAGACCTAACCCTAGACGCCAGTGAGCCTCTATTCTTATCCTCTGCTATAAAGTTCTTCCTGGTTTCTACCGAGAACAGGCAGCAACGTGGTAGGGAACAGTGGTCGAGGTCTATGGGTCAGAAAAGAGAGATTGAATAGGCCGATAAGGTCAGGAAGCGTTGTAGTCAAAGGGGTTGAGGCAGACGGGTCAATTCAAGTTTTGGAATTAGCGAGCAAAGTCTTACTACACAATTTTCACCATCTTATACTAAAAACTCGTCAAACAAAATGGATTGGTAGGTTGCAAGTTGTCTCTCGGCAACAAGATCGAGGTCTCCCGTGGGGAGCATTGCCATGTTCTTCCCCTTCTCCTGAAACAACTCTTTAATGACCCCATGCATGAATGTGGCTCTCGTCACTTTATTCTTCTTCCCACAACAACGTGGTGGGTGAGCTTAGCTTCATCCATCAGTAGGAGTATCTTGGATAAAAATAGAAGCCTCGGAGCAACATATAAGATGATTTATTACTGCGGCTTTCCGTAGTCACTGTTACAGCTTCCTTTTGTTGTGTTGGCCTACGTAGACTTTTTAACCTTCTTCCCGCACGGTCGTTGCTGGTGTGGGAGAAAGTGACGGTGACCACCTCGAGGGATTGCCACCCCAATGTACGTATCATCTGACCGTGTCATCTGATTACCTGACAACAACGCTTCGCTACCACCATCAAGAATCTGTGACATGTCCTCGATCCCTTGAATTCGTCGTCATTATTGTACTCTAGTCACTCATACTAGGGTTAGGGAGTGGGCAAAAGTCTTGGACGAATGCTGATGGAGCTCCAATGTTTATACGAAGACAACTTAGAGACTGCAACCTTACAGTCCGCAGAAACTTTTGTCTCACCCTTGGTTGTCATTTTACGAAGATGCTTTTGGTAGGATGCTGCGAGTGATCTGGTTAACCCAACCTTGATATCATAGTTTAGCCTCGCACTTTGTTTGTATCCCCCACGTCCATCTCAGGAGGCATCGGTGTCACCAAACTCATTTGACCATTTTTTAATGCAGAGATGGACCGAATCCACGAGCCGTATCTTTTAATGACGAAAGCTAGATTCTAATCTATGTGCTGATGGGTGTCGCTGTTCAATGATTGCTCGACTTGTTTTACTTGTATGGAGCCCCAAAAACAAGGACAGGGTTCACATGACATGCCTTGGTGCCTCATTATTTTCCACTGCAAGCTGACACTATACATGAATCGCAGTTGGTCATCCTCTTGTTTGATTCATCAAGGGCGAGAGGAGGAGGATAAACAAAAAATTATGGTTTTTTATTATATAGATTAAGCTAATGTCTATTTCTTTGTCTCTTAGAAAGACAGGATCTTTACTCAGAAGACTTTAAGCCCATCATCGGCTGCGTACTTGCACTGCCCTGTGCCTTTTAGGATGGACATTGCTTGTGGTCATAGGAAGCTATATAGTAAGTAGTATTTAGATCTCGTATTGGTTTGTGATCGAGTAGAGATTATGCTTTCGGCATATCTAATTCTTTATGAGGCTTTGGTGGATCACGTAGTGGGTGAACACATGCACCTACACGGTCCCAATCTGGCCAGATCCCACTGGTGCAACATTTTTGCGTCAATCCCTCCCTTTCCTCCTACCATCCATCACCGAATGTACTGATCGATGCAGGATGTGAAGGCATGTGTCGTTCACTCTTGTAAGGCAATTGACGAGTCAAAGGTTCATGTCCCACATAGTAGTAGCATGGCAGAGTTGTGAGGAAGATTCGCAGCCTTGTGCGATCCTAGAACCACTCCACCGCCCATGCATAAACTATGAGGTGCATCATTGGGTCAACAACAGATGGAACTCTTTTCCCCCGAAGCCTCCATGGAAGCAGTGGAGAGTCACAGTGATAATGATGGAGGAAAGACATAAACGTAACTACACGTTTTGCAGAAAATACTTGCAATTAGATAGATAGAGAGAGGCTGTTCTGACCCGGACCATGAACGAGTGGCCTGTAAACGAAGTTGCTGTCAAGCTCTATACTGATCACAATCATCCTCGAGGCCCATTTGTCATGGGGGGCCGAAGGATCTGCTTCATCTTGTGTTCATCCAAAATTTGTTTTTATTAAAGCATTAAATACAAAACAAACATCGAGTCATGTTATTCTCATCATTTTTATCTTTAGTGGCAGAACGTATACGTATTGAACCCCCTGAGCCCTATCCAGATTCTTCCTTCTTGATCCTAGGTAGGTTCTTTTCTTTCTTTGGGTTGTCTCTGGCTCCCACTACCATCGGAGCAACAATGACGACTCTCGCTCCAAGCAGTAGCAGTGGATTTTTCAGGGGGAACGAGAAGCGGGCATCCCCATCATCGTCATCTGAAAGGACTTGCAACGGTAGCTCCATTTGCAGATCATTACTCTCAAGTCGAGGGGGAATGGCCCTATCAATCATCGAGGTTTATGTTCTTTCTCCCACTAATCTATTGTCCAAGTCATTTTTATTCCTCCTATTATTTGGTTCTTGGTTGGGTTCGGAATGTATGATGCTTTTGTTCGTTGATTTTTTTCCCCCTTAGGTTTCTTTCTTTTTTGGATCTTTCTTTATTTAGTTCTACTGGTTGTTGATCGGGTTTGGGGAGCATGTTTCTTGGACTATTCTTCTTGTCTGTTGATTTTTTTTTCTTGGTCCCTCGATCTTTTAATAGAGGATTCACAAGTATAAGAATAAAAAATCATCATATGATATTATTATGCAGAAAAAAATTTAACATTAGTATTGAAATCAAATAACAATACAGAGCAAATGATTTACGGTAAGTAATTAAGAGAATTTCTTTCATCAAGAATATCTCCTAATAACAATCAAACTTTCTTTCTCTTGGCTTATAATCATCATCAGAATCAATTAGATTTATAATACATCTTACATAATTATATAGGGTCATATGGTTTAGCATTCTTCCGCTTTACCCATTTATTATAATATATAAAAGGAATTTAAAATTAAAAATAAATAAAAATAAATTTTGTTTGAAAATAATTTTACCTAATTCGATTTTAAAAAATTTTAAAAAATATTTTATACATGACTATGGATTTAAAAATAAATCAATAAGTCTAATAAATACAATACTACTATATAAAGTCCAACTACTAATACAAGTCATACCAGTTGTACGTTATCAATGTCGTACTCCGTTCTATGTACTATAACATTATTTTTTGTTAATGTAGAGATACTTGTCATTTATATTGTTAAGATAATCCTATTATTATATTTCACTATAATATACATAAATATAAATATAAATAAGAATATAAAAAATAAATAACTTTAATTAAACAAAAAAAATATATCAATAATAACATCCACCTAAACATGCATTGTCGTATCTTTTATTACTTACTTACAAACCTAATATGTTCTTTAAATATTTAGACTATAAAGTTGACGCTCTGATTCTTCATTAACACATGTTGTTTCTAGACTCTTTCTTTGATCACTAAGTACTTTATCTTAATATGTTTGGAACTACTAGAGTAATTGTCAGAAGAAAACTATTGTGATATCATCATAAAATATTTTTAACGGTTTGACAAATGAGTCGATCATACAAAGTCTTAAGATGAAATTTCGTAGTCATAAAGCTTGACCTGTGATCTCAAGACAATTTACAAAATCAGCATCTGAATATCCTCTCTTGTATGTGATCATGTAATCTTTCGTCCCTTACTGATATCTCATTATTTTATTTTTAATATTTTATTTTTGGATTACTCTGGTATCTATCTAGTATTATAATTATAAAACTAATCTATAATCTTATATAAATTTGAGTATATAATAAACTTTCAACTATTCATGTGTAAGGAATATCCTTCATTTGATTTTTTTTCTATGTTATTTTTCGAACATTGGCTTTGAATGAATCTTTTATCTTTAGTAATACGTGTATCATTAGTCGAATAAGGCTGCATATTAAATCTTTCTAACACTCGATCAATATATCATTTCTGAGATCATCTGAACATAGATCTATTCCTAAATATCTCAATACCAATAATATAGGCGGTCTCATTCATATCAACTATTTTAAAATTCTTAGTATAAAACATCTTGATTTCGTACAATAAACTAATATCACTACTGGCAAATAAAATATCATCCATATATAAGACCAATATAATAAACTTGTTCCAACTAACTTTTAGATATATGCACTAATTAATAATATTTTACATAGATCCGAATGAAGTAATGGTATCATGAAACTTATTTAAGGTTATAAATAGATTTCTTAAGTTTACAAACCAATTTTTTTTTTCTTTTCTGTGAATCCTTTATGTGTATATATATATATATATATATTTCTATTTAGAAATATTATTTTCACATCCATTTGATTTGATGTAACTCAATATCATAATGAGCTAATAATAACATGATGATTTTTAATGAATCTTTTTTAAAATTAGAGAAAAGGTCTTTTTATAGTCAATATTTTCTTTTAGAAAACCTTTGACCATAAGTTTGGTTTTATATCGTTTCATATTTTTTATTGAGTTATATTTTGTCTTAAGGACCTATTTGCATTCGACTCTTTTATAATTATTGAGTAATTCAACGAGTTCTCAAACACCATTATGGTCTATCAATTTTAAGTCTTCTTTCATCATATCATACCACTTTTTAGAATTACTACTTTATATAGTTTATAAAAATGATAATGGATCCCCTTTTATCCTTGTATCATAATTATATTTATATATATATATATATATATATATATATATATATATATATATATATATATATATGTTAAAAATAGTGTATCTCTTTTCTCTTTGAGATATTCTCAAAACTATCGGTTTGGTTATTCTACAATATCATTAGCGATGAAATCAATATCATGTGAGAGTTCGTCAATGTTATTTTGTTATTTACCCTCATCAATTCTCTCAATAATTTAAGGAACAATAATTTCTTTTTTATATGATATGATAAAGAAGTATTAATATGTATCTCCTCGATATCAAAATTGATCATTCAAGATTTTTCACTCTGATTAATTTTATCATTTAAAAAAAATTATATTACTAGAATATAATATCATCTAACTATGATTAAGATAATAAAATTTATATCCTTTGGATTTTTTGGATAACTAATAAAATATCAAAAAATAATTTTTAAATTTAATTTCTTTTTATGTTGATTGAAAACTCTTATCTATGTAGGACACCCCCTATACCCTATACGACTCTTATCTTTGTAGGACTCTTATCACATGTGGATTGTGATAAATAAAAATGTATTTATTATTTTTAATATTTATTTAGTTGTTCACATGCATATGTTTGAAATTATAGAATAATATTTATTTTTCACATAAAGGTATGATTTATATTTCATCATTATTACAATTATCATATGAGTTTTTTTTAATGTTGATTAATGTTCAATAATTATTATAATTATTATTTTATTATTAAACTATTTTAGCATAAATTAAATTAATTTTTTTTGATGAATATTATTTATAACTTATATCTCTGAATTTTATGTGACTAGTAACTCTCAAAGTAACCGGAGATGATAAAGCTTATGAAATGTAATTTATAATAAAAGTTTTATCTTTTTTTATGATACTTTTATATTATATTTTATATTATACATTAGTGTTGTAATTGTCAAAGTAGCCCAGACCAATAACTTATAAAATTATATTAAAGAATTAATTTTAAATTAGATCAAAGAAAATAATATTTATAGTTATATATATAATTAGAAGATTTAGATATTCTTAAATGATAATATATTTTGAATAATTAGATAATACTATTTTAGATATCCTCGTGAGATTGTGTACTAAAAAAGAACAATACTATTCCATAAGGATGGTATTAGTTCTGTATAAAAATTTTTATATGAACACTAATTATATCAATATTTCACCCATGAAATAGAGATGATATTAATAGTTCAATATTATCTTAAAAACTCAAAGTATTAATATTATATTATTAGAATGGTATTTCCTTCATATATTCTTGTAAATGTCCTTCTAATTTTTGGATTAAATTATTATAAATGGATTGAGTATATATAATTATATTGGGTGTGTTATAAACTTAATTATTAAAAAGATTAGTTGAAAGGATTATAAATTTAATTATTAAAAAAATTTATAGAATAAATAATTGAGATAACTGATCGAAAAAGATCTAAAAGGCTCAATCGTATAATAACTACTAATAATATTTAGATTTCATTATAGTTTACAATTATCATATTGGAATATTTTAAAGATTAATTTACAATTACTGATAAGTCATTAGTTGAAAAGAATGAACTAAAATTCAGAATGATATAATTTATTCTGAATTTTATTTCATCTTAATTTGGCTTATTTCAAATTTACTAAAAAATTAAGGATAAGTCAAATTATAATGAACGAACCAGTATATATATTTATAAAAAATTAAGATTAAAATAGAAAATATTCTTAATATTTTGGATACTAATCAAGGAGTGGATAATAATTTTAAAAAATAAAACATAAATCACTTGAGTTTATAAATATTATATACATTTATAAACATCATAAATTTAGATGTATTGTTATTTGATTTTAGATTTTGATATTAAAATTTTTTACCTAATAATAATATATTATAATTTTTATAGTCACATAAACCTCCAACCCTTCGGTGGCAACATTGGATCATAATGCATCACTCGGTACATTCCTTTTCTTGTTTTCGCACTGGGCAACAGTCATGTACATTGCTTTCTGTATATGTTTACATTTCTTGTTTTTCCAACTGATAGTGAGAAATCTTGTTGGATGAAGACAATTATTTAATTTGTTAGGTTCAATTGAATTAACCCGGTCCAGGTCCGGCCAGAGTCAAATCAATCCGGTTCGCTCAACCTATTTCCTCCGGAGACCGGCTGAAGGCCAAAAAGAGTCGCAGGCATCTGCGCCGTCGCTGATGCGATCGGAGAAGAGAGTGCGATAAAATACAGAGAGTCGCAGGCATCTTCCTTCTTTCGTCCTCCGTCGTCCCGCCCAAAACCCAAAACCCTAAACCCCAGATCTTTCCTCCACCTCTCTGTTCGTCTTCCGGAATGGCTTGCGGTCGGAGAAGCCTCACCTCTAATTTCACCCATCTCACCCGCCGCCTCCACCCGTCCTTCGCCCACATCCTCCGCGACGACCGTGAATCCACCGAACCCCCAAATCGGCCACCTTTGTCCCCAACGCCATCCCTCCCCCGCCCTTCCTCCTTTGCCCCATCTTTCTCTGGGTTCGGCGGCCGGAGAAGCCTCGGCTTCTCCCTCCCTTTGGGCCTTGACCCTTGCCTCCTTCGGAGCTACTCCTCGAGTGCCGAGGGATCGAACGAGATCGACTACATCAAGGATGTCTCGGAGGTTTTGTCGGGCAGCACTGTGGAAACTGCTACCGTGGCAGCTGCGGCGGCTCCAGCTCCTTTTCCTGGAGAGGTGGCAGCTGCGGCGGCTGACTCGTTCCTACCTGTGGCTGCTCTCCAGCATTTGATTGACGGTGTTCATACTTTCAGCGGTCTGAACTGGTTAGGTCTTTCGCCCATCTTAGGTTGATAGTAACCAACCATAAGGCGCTCAGACGCTTTGGAGGAGGGCGTGGAGGGGTAATAATATCAAATTTCAATGTTTTTCCCTTTTTTTTTGGATCTCAGGTGGGCTTCTATTGCTTTGACGACTGTTTTGATTAGAGGGGCTACCATCCCACTTCTATTGAATCAAATGAAATCGACGGTGAAGCTTAGTGTGAGTTGCAACTTGTCATTGCTTTAATTTTTTGGCTCATTGTTCTCTGCTAATTTCAATAATGAGCTTCAGAGATCAGTGTGGTATGTTATAATTCTGCTCAGATTATTTTGATGGTTAATTGACATCCCAAAGTTGATCAATTGTACTCATTTTGCTTCATCAGCTTATTGTTGAATTAATTTTTGTAGTTAAGTTTTGTTTTCTTGGTACTCTTTGACCTAATTGTGAGGCAGAGGAATTCTGATTTTACCAAGATATATGGGTTATATTTGACTTAAACAATGTGAAATTCTGAAATAAATTTGTGGTAAATTTGCCACCTTAAAAGATATCTCAAAACTAGAAAAAAAAAGGCTAAGAAATCTTTACATTCTTGAATAATTAGGGATTTCTATGATTGTCGATAACACAAGGGAAAATCATTTTAGGTGGTATGAGTATGTCCAAAGGTGATCTATAGATGCATTTATTAGATGAGAGTCAATTGGAGTCATTTAGTGGAAGAAGCCATAGATTCAGATATAAGAAAATTTTGGTAATATTAATGTGGAAAGACTTGATGGTTTTGGGTTATTAGTGATATTAACCTCTACAAAGCTTGTAGGCAGTAGAATCTAGTTTGCCCAACTATCGGAGATCTTATGGCTTCTTGTTGTTATTGTGTAGTAGCCCTTGGAGAATAAGAGGGTGGGGAACAACTGGAAGGAGTCCCTGTAAGTTGTAGGTTTTTCATTGCCACATGGTTGGATAACAACAATATATGCCTACATGTATATTGAGCAGAGGACTGCTACTGCTACTGTTGGTTTCTTTTTGTTTTTAAGAATTTGTCCTGTAAACAAATGAACTTATATGTCTTGGTGGGTTCCAAGAAATGTTAACGAAGAAATCAAATGATATAGTTTTGGAGTTAAAGTTTATTGTCTCTGGAACTGTTGGATCATGGGCACTGAAGATGACAATCAGAACCATGACATTGTGTGATTTTTTATAGATAAAGTGTTAGCATAATATAGACTTGCAAAGTGTATAAGCACTCAACTGTGAATAAATAGCATCAACCATAAACATTTCTGTGTGATGCTCACCTTCGCTTTGTTAACACCTCATCAACTACCTTCACTACTTTAATAGAACACCAGCCATCTCTAAACCCTAATATTATGTCCATTGATAGCATGATACAACTTTTGACTCTTAATGGTAGCTAATCTCCTCATCATCTAAGCATTGAGCTGATTGGAATAGTTGTGGGGTATTCAGCTCATCTTCATGCACAACAGTGACTACTGACTACGGCTTTTAATACATTTCCATGATCTTTTTTTTGTGGTTTGGATGTAAATAGGCAAATGGGAGGGCTTATTCTATAAATTTTTGAGGATCCTGGGGTTATATGCAAGAAAACCTCTATAACATGATATTTTTGTTTCAATATAATTTAAAGACATGATGTTTCTGAAACTGCTAGAAAGTTAGTGAAATAGGCACATCATAACTAGTTTAGTGCATTTCAGACATCCTAATTATGTACAACTTGAATTGACATAGAGGCAATAGATTAGATCACAAGCAATTAGCTCTTCAGAAATGTTTCAATTGATAACACACGCAAGTGAAATGACAGTGAAATGCTTGGTCCAATGACACTGTATATCTTTGTTCTCTCTATATTTATTGTATATGAAAATTGACATCATCTTAAGAATTTCCAAATTGGTCTTTCTGCATTTCTTTTGGCAGCAGTGGTTGAGGTGGAGGAATAATTCTTTTATTATTTTTTAGTTAAATATTTTCTTTGTTTTAGTGCACAAATGTTTTGATAACATTCCTTATGTTTTAAACAAGGATTATTTGTTTTATTTTGTACTTATGTTTCTCCTATCATGTGTTTATAATTTTTGCAGAGCTTGTTGCTTTGTGGTCACTAAAAACACGAAAGACATTTTCTAAACCTGCATTTTTTTCCCATGCAGATGATGAGACCTGAAATGGAAGAACTTAAGAAACAAATGGATGTACGTTCTACTCCTGAACATGGATTGACTGCTTAAACCAGATAACCATATTTTGAATCTTCTGCAGCATGATTATTGTTTAATCATCCCTGACTTATATATGATAAATACTTGTGCTCAAATGCAGCTGGTGCCACCTTTTCTTCTTTTTTTAATATATCCTTTTTCTGTCATGCAATGATATTTCATTATCTGCTGCAGACAATGGATCCCAAATCTGTGCAGGAGGGTCAAAAACAAATGAAGGCATTGTTCCAGAAGTATGTTTTTGTCAGTTCAATTTTGTCATCACTTAATCTGTCTTTGGTTTTGCTGCTATAGGAGATGTTCTCTACCTAGACATGAGCCTAGTTTGGATAAATTATATATATTGTGCTTTCGAATAAAAGGTCCTTTTTTTTAGTCTAATGAAATGCACCAACAAAAACTTTGTGATTACAGTGAAAATTTTAACATGCTAGCAAAACGTAAAAAGGATAATGATAGTTGAATGATGTAATTATTCTTTGATAAAAATATTCTTGTGTTAGTCAGATATTAAACATATATGCATAATGGTGGCACTGGGTCCGCCAGTCCGGTAACAAGGAGTATGTGGCCTGAACCTGACCACCTATGTAGGTAACTGGGTTCTGATCTAAAATCTAAATACATGACAAGTTGTGGTTGACTAACTTGAACTTGGTTTAACAACTTGATACTGAAACAGGAGAAGAAAAAACCGGAGTGCAGTAAGAAAGGGAGATACATGTGACCAATTGGTGGTGGTGGCCACTATGGCCACTTCAACTTGCAGTTCTTAGTAACCAACAGACCTGAGACCTGGTTGCATGTTGCAGGGAGGCATATAAACAAATTTTGTTTTGTTCAGATTTGATCAATTTGAATAGGATCTAGCTACTAAATTTTCTTTTCTGGATCTGATAACATGACAGATCAGCCTACATGTGGTCCATCAGAATACATCAGATCTTTCTACTAGGAAAGTGTTGATTGTGATCTGAATTGCCCACGTGGTTTCGAGATATGTTCATGGCTTAGATGTGGTGGTTAATGGATACTGCTGTGAAGGGGAAAAGAGAAAAAGAAAAAGAAGGCTGATGCAAGGCATGTGTTGGTGATGATTGGTCTAGGTCAATGATGGCAAATGTTTAGATTGATGATGGCAGTTCACTGTCTGTTTTTGCAGATGACTGGTCAGGGTTTGTAGTTTCATTGCACACTCTTGTGTTGGTTGGGTTATGACATGAATACGCATTGTTGGCTCAGGTAGATATGCGAACACAGTGATATACTAGCCCAGACCAGATGTTGGGTCCAGTTGTGTTTATATATATATATTTTTCTTTTGACCAAGGTTCAGCTGGGATACCACTCATGATATACTGTTCCAATGGTACACCGGTGCGTTCCTTCTTCCCCCCTCCTAATCCTTCGGAATGTAAATAAATAGACTTCTATGATGGGACATGTGGGAAAAATGTGTTTAATATTACATTTGAAAATTATAACAGATGGGACTTTAAAAACTTAGAAGATTGTAGTGAGCGTCTGGCTCATGGAAATGTATTGGATACATGAATAGGTATATCGGTGGGAAAAAGAGTCCAAAAGTGTCAATTAGGAGGCACTTTGCAGAATTTAACCTTTTAAAACAAGGTCAATAGCAGAGCAGGATTTGTACCACAAATATATCTGATCCCTTTGTGCTCTTACAGCTCATCTTTTGTGTTCTATTTCTTATGTCTGTATATTGATTTTGTTAAAATATGTAATACACATGAAGTATAAGTCCTGGAACTGAAGGTTATGCTATAGTTTAGCCACAGTTAAAAATAAAGTTGATGTCCTGTGGGTGGCGGACCTGTATAAAGTGTGAAAAAGTTCCATGTTAATTCCTGTAGTACTATGGCTGGTTCCTCATGCATATTCAGTATGTGGAAATCTTCATTCTGTTTGCCTGCAGTTTTTTCTGATCAACTTCAGTTTATTTAAGAGCAAGCAAAATTTCTATTTATCTGTCAACGTATCTAATTGGTTACTCATGTCTGCTTTTGGTTGGTGATTCTAGGTATGGGGTTACTCCATTCACTCCGTTAAAGGGACTTTTTATCCAAGGGCCAGTTTTCATCAGTTTCTTTTTCGCTGTAAGTCTGTTGACCTTGTCTTAGGAAGGTTTTTCTTTCTTGTGATAACTAATTGATATGTACTTGACCATGGTCACATCAAATTTTTAAAATTCAAACATGCAAAATAAGCTGTAAACGATTGTCTACTCACAGATAGTTTGATATGTTTTTCTTTTAGATCTCAAATATGGTTGAGAAAGTTCCATCTTTTAAAGGGGGTGGGGCATTTTGGTTTACCGATTTGACAACGCCTGATCCTCAGTACATCCTTCCAGCTTTAACAGCGTTAACCTTCTTGGCGACTGTGGAGGTAACCTTCCTAAACTACAGATAAAGTTTGCCATTACATGGAAAAGTATATTAGTAGATAACTCAATTTTATAATAACTGGATAACTTGAATCCCAAATCTTTCACCAATGTCATGATTGTTTCTAACAACACCTGGATGTATTTTATTTTTATTGTGTATAATTTTTCTCATGCTGCACTGATTTGCCTCTTCTGGACATTAATATAAATCGAATTTGAGTAGAACATTTGCTTTAGTTCTTCTTTTCTTTATACCAGTGTCGGCACTGAGATAACTTCTATCTGTTCAGTTTAACCTGCAAGAAGGAATGGAAGGAAATCCTATGGCAAAAACGATGAAGAACTTCTCCAGAGTTCTTGCGCTTATGACTGTCCCATTTACTGCCCATTTCCCAAAGGTATTAAAATATTTGAACCCTTAAATCTTTTAGAAGCAGTATTGTGTGCCTACAACTATGGTATTTTATTTCGAGGTACAATTTCCGGATGCAGGTTTCTTTGTTATAGAACAAACTTTGATGTTCTATGCATCATTATTTGCCATGCGTCAGTTGTAGGCTACTTCAAGTCATTTTCATATTAAGTTACTGAGAGATGGGTGATGACATGTCCATTAAGTTTGCTTGTGAAATTGAGAATCTGTTTCTTTTTCCTTCAATCGTGACACCGACCTGCTAGGCAAAAGGTAATTGGCCTTGACATAAGCCTCTCACAGATCCTACACTTGAATTTATTAAGAATAAGGCTTTATAAATCAATGAAATTTACATTTTCTCTTGAAGCCTCGATTGATAAAAATTTCAGTAGAATAAGGAAAAGCAACTCTACACTTTGAATTTGAGATGGCTGATTGATGCATCTACTTAGACAAACACATCAACTGAAGGAGGCATTATTGTCGAAAAGCTAAAGTTACTGAATTATTGTGGAGAAAATAATTATATATTAGTTTTGATATTAAAGTAAGATTTCACAATATTTTCATAAAATTTGGTGAAACAATAGCATACTTACTCAGGGTGACATATCTTATCTCCTAGCATTTGATGCTTTGATATATATATATATATATATCTTATCTCCTGTTTATGATGATCCCATGATTCCATCCTATTTATTGTAATTATGAATATGTTGGAAAGTCACTCTAATTACTGCAGTAATTATGGTCAAAACGTTCTTTTTTGGTTTGGTAAATGTAGGATGCTGAGACGCATTTTGGTTATCCATGTAGTGTAGTGTAATGTTCCAATGTGGATGCTTTGGCTGCTTCACATGTATGTGCTGATTACCATTTTGAAATTTCCAGGCTATCTTCTGTTACTGGATCACATCAAACCTTTTCTCTCTTATGTATGGTTTTGGTGAGTTATAATATCTAAAGATGAGCCTTCTCCTGTAGCTTTGTTTTTATGGTTTGGTAGCATGGCCCTCATAAATATAATTTTTCGACTTGTTGACAGTGATTAGACACCCTCCAGTGAGGAAATTTTTGGATCTTCCTGATATGGTTCCGCCACCCACCCCTGCATCTCAGCCGGGCTTCTCTTTCTTTGGTGCATCCAAGCTGATCGCGCCGGCGGCCTCTCCGCTACCAGCTAAGGAATCTGAGGCTAAAATGCCTTTGAGAAGGGTATCATCATCTTCCGTTGTCAGCCAGCGGATCAGAAACCTGGAAAAGACGGTCAAAGCTAGAAATAAACCTAAGAAAAGGTAGAGGGAATGGAGATATTTTCAGCATTGCAAACCATTTATACATGTGTTATTGTCAATGGAGCGTATGCCTTATGAAATCGATCGACAATTTCAGTTCACGGAAATATCTGTTTTTAGCAACGGAGAAATTTTCCGGTATCTGCAAACCATACAGGGCTTAATAATGTACTGTCACATTGTTGACATGAGAGAGAATTTTTGAATGTACCTCGAGTTAAAAAAATTTGTTATGAAAACAGCTACTTGGAGTTTATGCTCACTGTTTTGTTATGATTTATGTCATAGCAAGAAGAAATTTGCATTTTAAAAAAGTTTCTAGTTCATCTTTGATATGGCAAAAAAGTGACTAATTATTTTACACACATTATTAGCACCCATCAGGGTTCCAACCCATTAGTATAAGGTTCAAAAATGGTCCAACGACCTGTAGCATACAATTTCGCTGACGTACTTGCTACAAGCTACAACAGTGACACAGTGAAAGAGTTCACCGAGGTGGTCGCCCGATTTCTGAGGTAGCTTCCTGAAATTTGTTCTTGACGATCTTAAAGCTTCTTTGGCCCTTTTTGGTCCAGTTAATCGAGCTCTTTCTTCTAAGCATATCTGATAGAAGGGGGTTTTTTGCCGGCGGCACCTTTCCAGTCGTGTCCTCGTAATCTGCAAAGAGTGGGTGTTACATAAGCTCTGACCTCTATTTTACTCATAATTTCAACAGAAACCAACAGCCAAACAACAGATACGATTACTTGTATAGCTCAGGCATTCAAATAAAAGATGGCGGCGACATAGCAGAAACCAATAAGTGGATATTGAATATGGCGGCGACATTGTTGCAAATCCTCCCATCCTACATTAGATCTTCGAAGTAGCTAGCTAGCTAGCTTATCACTTCTGGACTCATAGGGCAGTGGCAGGGGCAACATATCAGTTATCCTTCCACCGGTTGTCATCAACAAGAACATCATCAACAATTCAATGACCTTTAAAGGGATGATGCCAGCATGTTTTTATATCACATACTATATTCAAAAATTTCTTGAACTTCCATCCATACACCCGCAACCAAATATCAAGGCAGCAGATTATTAAAAAAATGCTCATCCATGGGATGGTTCTCTCTTTAGCTCCATATACGTGCTAGTTATGAAATTTGTCTAGGGCAATGTACAGCAATAATCTAATGAAACACTACCAAGACATATACATATATGTATATATATATATATGTATATGATGTATATATATGTATATGTATATGTATATGTATGTATGTATATATATATATATATATATATATGTATATATATATATATATATGTTTTTAACCTATTACTGTTGATAAGAGATGCTATGAACTAATTGAATTTAATTGTTGCGATATGACAAAGCACTAAAACAAAGACTATCACTAACGTTTCCAGAGCCTAGTCCTGCATGCATTCAGGAAACCTCAAACTTGTAGATCCATATCCAATTATCATTATACCTACAACTTTACTATTGCTTTTCTTTTTCTCAAATCCATGAATAAAGAGTTCCAGTGTACGGCCAACAAATAATCAAATAGATAATTTCCAACTTCAAAATGACATATTGACTAAATCTGATACTTATTATGGCAACACTTACATAACACAATAAGCAACAACTCTTTCATAACACGATAGAACAATCTGATCTGATATTGTATGTTTCCAACAGATTCCAGAGCACTCACTGATACATGATATTAGTCTAATACGTAGTCAAATATCAAATGTACTAAAATATTAATAACCACTAAATATTACTACTGAATTTGCTTACATGAGAGTAGATAAGGTTAAAAGTACTAGATAAAGCGGTAATTTTTTCCAGTAGCATGGATAAGGTTGTGAATGCTAAAACTTAAAAACTGCACAGTTATTCCATGTGGACTAAGCATAAAGTCTGACACAACAATGAATGTTAGCAATTTGATTGAAAGCTTACAAAATCACCTGAAGACTTGGGAAGCTGATATTGAATTTTTAGAAATTTTGAGGCATATTTGTCCTTTTTATGACATAAAACTCGGAGTAAAGTGTCAACATCAGTTGCAGATCTTCTTCCGGGCTTCTTAATTTCAAGATGATTAGGAATTTGTTGACTTGCACTTATCAACATGTCAATAATGGTCTCAGCCTAAAATTCAAAAGAAAATATTATACACATATTTAATTATTATATTAATAAACCACCAGAGAAAATAACAAACCTTCATGGCATACAAATCTAAGATTTCTTCACCTAATCTTGCTTCCTTCTCAACCACATCTTGAGGTAGTCCTTGGCCATTGGCCACAAAAAGATCCTAGGAGACAGATATCCTCTTTGAGTATATAATTAAAAAAGAGAATAAGATGCATGAATCTGAGATCCTAGTTGCTCAGGAAACTGATAGGATGGACAAGAAAGCTCTGCAAAGATTAAATCTGATTACACGAAAATTGGTAGTAAGTTGATATTACATATTCAAAGTAAAGAAAGTAAAGGTTCCAAGTCCTGATGGTATGCATAATTTATCCATAATGGCACCATGCACAGATACATATTTATAGTAAGCTAAACAAATGTTCCAATCTCTTTTGTGGACTAATAGATTCTGAATATCCAGGATTTCTATTTCTAGGAATTTCTTGTCCATCTATAAAAAATACTCTCCTAAGAAAAATTTCTTCAATCTCCCCCCTTCGCCAAGTACACACTCCTTTTTGTCCCTCTGGTGCTGTACCATACTAGTTGACAGCACCAACCATACTAACTAATTTGTACAGCAGCATGCCATGAAAATGCAATGCCTGCTTTCACCTAAATAAGAAATTGGAAAAGAAAAGAGCCTTAAACTTTTACCCTTTTCACCTGACATGCTAGAACACTAAACTAAATGCAATAAAACATTTACCTTCAAATCATTCAAGTCCTGCTGCATCATGGTTGCATCACTCTCAGAGAAAACACGGGCTGGACCTCCATCCAACATCACCCATATATATCCATCCTATTCAGTGAGAAGGTTAGGCAAGAGAAAGACTATTGAAAAACCAGTGCTCTTACACAATGAAGTACCATTGTTGCTTCGAAAATGCTTGAAACAACTTGGTCCCTGAGTGAATCAACAATTAAATCACACACTGTGTCAAGAACCTGTATGGAAACCAGAGACAGTTAATGACCAAGCTATTGAAATGATAGACGATAATGAGAATGGTCCTGAACTATTTTGGTATGGATTATCAAAAGCTGAGACTTAAGGAAAACACATAAATGTGACGAGTGTTTCAGATTCTTGACTTACTTCATCAAGCATTGGAATGAATATTTCAAAGCGAGCATTTTCAACACTTCCCTGATACAAGGAGAATATCATGGAATTCCTCAAGTCCCAAAATATCGCCCTTGCTCCTACAAATTGTCAAAATTGAGTGCATGGTAGCATCTACTAACTATCTATATAATCCAACCAACAAGTTAAGCATCATTACATATTCACATCTTATAAAGTCATCAATTCACTTATGACATTGAAATGACTAAATCATCAATACAATCCCATGTATTGAAAAAGAGTGCCTCTTATCTAGAAATCCCTGTTTCTAACACTAACACTGATTATGTACCTCAATCATTGCTGTTATAAAGCCCAGTTTTATGTTTCATTTCTTTACCAACTTGTAGTTTCACATGATCAAATGAGTCATAGAATTAGTTCAAGTCCATCCATGCACTTTTTTTTACCCCTTCCTGAAAAAGATTGCTCATATTGGTTCACGAGAAAGTAAACTAATGCAGAATTTATTAAAAAATATATAATATTATAGAGATATTGGCATGGAACTTATGATAGATTCATACAAAAGTTACTTACCAACGAAATCCACAATCATATCACTTGCACATACTGCACGTCTTCTAATATCATCAAAAATTGTAAACAATTCTTCAACAGTGCCACTAGATGTAGGTAGATCATCTTTAGCAACGTCAAATATTTGACCATCATCTGCATCAGATATGTTAAAATGTCTAACAAGACTAAGATGTAGAAAGATGATGAGCTACTACTTATGAATTACGATGCCAAAAAAAAAAATGCATAGAGAATAACATTAAGATAAGAAGACAAGTAGGCACAAAAAAATGAAAATCACCTCGCAATTTTGCAAGACAATTACATTATAGGTGAAATCATTTTCATCACAAGCCCACAACCTTCTCAATCAGTTACAATAATTACCTTTCCTACTATGATATTTAAAATTTGACGACACAAAAAGAAAGAACAAGCTATTATAGTTTAGCCAGGCATGCCAACATTGAGTTTCTGAAGTCTTGATGATGGAGAATCATTTACCTTACAAAGGATTTCAAAAAAGTTTATTCTAGGTAAAGAAATCAACAAAAAGTCATCTATTAGTTGGCCTAAAAATTCTAAGAGTTGTGTTGAAGATTGAAGAATCTTTTGATCGTTCTAGGAACTCCTTTTGTATCAAGTGAACTCTTGTATTAAGGCACTCATTTACTATTTAGGTATCCAAGAAGTTATATTTTAAATTTTCAGACGACATACTAATTCCATAGGAGATTACTCTTGAAAATGATTGTCTTCATTAATTATACTAAGGCAAATAAACCCCTATAAATAGTAGAGACTGTCAATGAATGAATGACTTCAGATTTGAATGAAAAGAATTGCATCTTATCCGATCTCTTGCTCTCCTCTCTTATCTCACACTTCTCTTTCTTTTTCTTCCCCTCTTTCTCTCTACTTTCCTACTCTGTTCTGCATCACTTGATTTGTTTATTAATATTCACAAATACAATTTTAATTTTTGCTAGCATTTCACACCCATCATGCTCAAATAGAATTGTATTTAGAGAAAGAAAATGTAAAAAGGGGCGACCTCAAGATAGTTACCTGTCTGTAGGAGGACCCAAGAATGTTTTATAGCATCTTCTAATGTGTCAAGTTGTTCCCTTAAATACTGCATTACCAATAAAATATACTATAAGAAAAGTGTTTGCAACAAAGTTGTCAGGTGAACATGAAAACCAGGAATACATGCTGATAAAAGAACTACCTTTTTCTAATGTTCCATATCATATGTTATATCCCTCTCCTTATTATGGAAAACAAAATAATGCCACTGTAAATTGAAGAAACATTTCAAGTTTGATATAAAGTTTCCACACTTTCTTTGATGTAGAGTGTTTTAATAAAATCCACACTTTTTATTCTACTCACATTTTATTTCTTTTCTTTCTCTGCTTTCTTTGAATCCTAAGGTTGTCATCTAAGTAGTTGACCCTCTAATCACCATGCAAATAAAGTGTAGCATAATGCAAAGACAAACAAAGAAAATAATTTAATTTGAAAAGAGCTCACACAAGATTTGAAATTAATCTTGGATATCACAAGATCTCTCTTCTTTTCAATGAATGAACTATTCTGTTCAGTACCTTTTTATTTGTCTTGAACAGCTATGAACAAGGAACATTACAACAATGGCAACAATTAGAAAATGCGACGGTTGTGATGAATGCAACAAGAATCATATCCCCTCACATCCATAGTCCTAGTCACATCTTTTTCCCTCTCTTTCTCGAACTCCTTTCGAACCTAAGGTTGCCACTACAGCAGTCATTGACCATCTTATACTCTCTCCTCTCTTATTGTTAGTGACAAATTGGCTCATAGTTGATAATCCAGTCAATTCTGACCGATTTCGAACCTTACTATCCTCGTAACATGATGCCATCAATTTTTATGTATAAAAAATGCATAGCAGTAAATATCCAATAACTTGGCATACCCCCAAACTTTGACATTCAATAGGTAAGAAATCTTATTTTACACTTGAGTACTTGACTATTCTAGCTTTTGCAAAAATATGTTGTGTTCTCTATCAATGAATTTGGCTTGGAAGTTGCATCAAGAATTGGCAATGATAACCAAAAATAGAGCACCTCAATTGTCAAATTGCATTACCATGACTCTCACTGCTTGTATACATGAATATATCAATTAGGAAAACATGGGCCCCTCATATGTGTTTAGTGATCTAAACTAGGGGTATAGGTGACTTGGAAAAGAAAATTCATGTTGATACGCATTATAACTTCATTTCCTCTCCGACAACCCAAGGTTATCATTATGTTTTACCCTTTTTCTTGTCATACTGTTCCTTTAAAGTATCAAGGAAGAAATTACACCTTGGATAATTGTCCAAGTAGGTCGTCCATACTTTTTTCTTGGTAGAGTTCTGACATTACATTTTTTTAGGAGAAACAACCATCAAATAAGAAGATGCAATATTTCAAGACAAAGCAGGACCTGAGCTCAACCACATGTTCGCATTGTACATCACTCTTCAACAACCTGAGCTCAGCTTGAATATGGTAAAATAAATAAAAATTGCCAATTGTAATTGGTTTCTACAATTAAGGGTAAATGTCTGTCAAATGCTCCATCCCAACATGCATTTATTTATATCCCAGTAACTATGCATAAAGGGCTCTTTTGGCAAGAAGATGATTAAACAAAATTCAATCATCCAATATATAGGACCAACATACACGATCACTGATTATTTAAGAAAAGGAAAACACACTTCACGGATTATATAAGCCCAAAAATGCTGTATTCTAGTGAACAAAGAAAAAAACAGAACTTACATGGAGAGTGTTGAGTTTAACACATAGCTTTGGCAATGTCAAATCATTAAGTTGATTCATTGTTTTGTCCTCCAACATCAAACGTTCCACCGGTTTTTTCTTTGTGAAGGGATTCGCAGATTCCTCATAGCGCGTCAAGGCTGGGGGAGTAGGGTATACCAGACTCTTATCAACTGCAATATCAAGAAGGTATTACGTCAAGAAGTATATTGCAAATTGTTAAGCTTTATAGATGCAGCAGATAATGCAAGTTGTAGATGATATACCGTGTGTACCAGGTTAAGTGCCTGGGAAAATGTAAATGTTACAGGGTAGCCAATGAACCTATAGCTAGCCATGATCAACCACCTCATCTATGGCTGGAACGAATCAGCTGGTCCTAACAATGGATCTTGTAATTCCATCAATCTGGTCTCAACCAGAAGCAGGCCAAAACTGGACCAGTAGCAATTTTAAACTGGTTGGTAATTGCATGCCTCAGCCATAGAGACTACAAGTCCAGTTTTGACCAGGACACCCTATCAGGATCCAAGCTGAACAGGGGTCAGACGACAGCCTTCCTGCAATTCAAAGGGGATGGCAGCAGCCAGACAACAGCAAAAACAGGACACCAATACTTGCGGGGCATTCTGTGAAATGTCTAGTTTAATACTTTTAGAAGTTTGGATCAGTAAATAGCCTATTAATAAGCACCGTAAGACTTCTTAGAGCTCTTAACTGTTGAACGTTGCTTATTTCTGTTATTTTTATCAAATAACAAAAAATTTATATTCTTCTTAGTTTGAATCCTTGGAAAACCTTTTTCCTTCTCAAACTGGAAAAAACTCTATTTAGAAGGACCAAGTCCTAACAATTTGGTTTTAGAGTAGGACATTCCCTGCCATATTTTGTGATGCCCTGGGACATTTTCTATGGTTTTCATGCAGAACTTCATAACTACACTGTGCTACTATGTCATCCATTGACTGGTAGTCTGGTATGGATTTCTAAGACTCCCATAAGGTTGGCAACTGCGACCTTGTTTTAATTGTTACACTGATATTTTTTAATTGTCTGGGTACCATCCAGCAGCAATATTGACCTCCGGAAAATTTTATTTTTTGGTACCCTATGCAGCAATGTCTTCGACCAATTCATGGTCAAGAATGGTGCTCATAAACTAGAATCCATAGTTTTCGGAACTGAACTATGCAGTGATCAGCCAAGCCTTGGAACATTGGGTCATTAGTCATATGGTGGATCAATTAGTCAGACAGAATCAGTGATTTAAAAAACGCTAGGCGACAAGGTCCCAAAACGCCTGAGGTGCTAGGCGCTCACCTGAGCGAAGCGAAACGCTCTAAAATATTAAAATATAAAAAATATATAATATAATTAATAAATATGATTATTTTAAAAAAAGGATAAAAAATGTCACCGAGTGAAACCGACAGTGAAAAGTCGGAAGAGAAGCAGCAGTGAGAAGTAACAACAATGGATGATTAGTTTAAGATAGCAGTAGGCAACAGCAGCGGAATCTAAGGACATCAGTGGAAGCGGAGGACAACAACGGAAGCAGCGGGAGAAAGACTCGGTTCGCTACGTCTGCGGTGGAGGCAACGACAGAAAGCGTCAGCAGCGGAGGCAGTGGGAGAAAGCGTTGGCGGTGAAGGCAGCAGGAGAAAACGCATGCGAGGGTTGGCTTAGGGAGTCGGAGTCATGCGTAAAGGGTAGCTTTTGAGGAAAGGAACTGCGTTAGTTCGTTCAATCGAACCAACTAATTGCTATTAAACCAAACCACCTAGGCGCCCAGTTGCCTTATATGAACCGAGCACTAGCTCGAAGTGCCCGGCGCTTGGGCTCGGGCGAGCGCCCAGGCGGCACCTCACTGAAGCACACCACCTAGTCCTCATATGAGGCACTCGGGCCTCGCCTCGCCTCGCCCAGGCGCCTGGGCAAGTGCTCGAGCACCTATTTAAATCACTGGACTGAATGTTTAATAAAATATTAATAAATAAAATAAAATAATACAAAATTAATAATAAGTCCTGAAAAAAAAAATTATAAACAGGAGTTATGATTTTCACAAGGTACAAGACAAACCTAGGAATTTATTGGTCTTGATACTCCAAAACAGATATTTTTTTTATTGTTAACATTCTGAATGTATCCCTGGACTAATGATTTGCAGGTAGCACAGAAAAGGGTTTTTGCTCATTTTAAGGGCACTCCAGAACTTGCTGATTTCAGTTGGACTGGCTGATTCTTTTGGTTCACACTTCACAGAAAACCAACTGATTGAACTTGGTCGCGTCTGACTGTTGATCACTTCTGATCCAATTTTTAAGCCAGACAGGCCAAGGGTCTAGTCTGGTCCTGTTCTGATAACTATGCCTGAACCCAGATTTGTTTATAGTTTTAGTCATGTCAACATGCTCAGAAAACTATTATACAAATTAATATAAGTGCAACAAAAAAAGTTTGTGTGATGTTGTTGGGCCATGTAAAGAATTTCCAGTCTTTGCCATCTTTGTCTGCAATGGCCTGTGTGATATTTTGTTAACAATTCCAAGTACATGGTTGATCTCTTAGCTAGCATTTGCTTAGGCACTGAAGTCAGCACCTTTGGGTATCAACCAGACAAGTACCTCACAATTGTAATTTAAAGAGAAGATGAAATTTGTAAGCAGTAAAGACATGATATAGCATCTCAAAAATAACTGAACGGATGGATTCAAATTGCTTTTGATTTGAAACTTCAGAGTCAATCCAGTTACAATAATGTAACAAAATATATATGTTGATGCACACTTCTTCCTATTCAACTCACGCTCATAAACACAGAACAAAATACAAAAAAGGTCAAATGTCAGGGCTGCAGAATAAGTAGACAAACATGTAATTCTATGCAGTCAGAGTAAGTTTGCTCCACACTAGAGTACCTTGGCTATGACAATTTGGACTTGATGAATCAAACATTTATAAAGTGATTATATTTATAAGTATAAAACAAAGAGCCTCTATCTCATGATTCATACCTTGCTGATTGATTATGTGCAGCAGATAAGCTTCAAGACTCTGCCTTATTCCGATGAGCAAGGATCGTAAATGGATAATATCCATTGGAAGGTTCAAGTTAAAAAACTGATCAACAATCTGCACATTTATGAACTTAAATTACTTTCTTAAGCACTCAGCGGAGAGCACGGAAACAATATATAGCTTGTATATAATTCAGTAAAGACAAGACAAAATCAAATTAAGCATCCGCCTGGATACATTTATTGCATGAAAAGCATTTGTTAAAGCGTTTTAAAACATGGAAGATATTTCAAGACAATAGTATGATTCAAAATGGTAAATTACAAGTTACAGATACTCTTAATTGGTTCACAAAATTCCATTAGCCATGAATTTTAGATTTTATTTGCATGAATCAAATGCTGAAATAAGCTGCAACACTTAGTGATACCAGGTGATCAGGTACCACATGTTATAGTTGATGCATAACATGGATTGCATGTGTTGCTGAGGAAGAACGCCAACCACCAATTGACTTTCTATTTCATATGCACAAATTCAATGACCACATGGATTAGTTGATTGGATCATTGATTAGGAGTTGCATGTTGGTGGGTAGCTATGTTGGTGAATGGTGAGTACTAGATACGCCAAGTGCTACGCCACATAACACAGGTCGGCCTGGATACATTTATCGCATGAAAAGCATTTGTTAAAGCTTTTTAAAACGTGGAAGATATTTCAAGACAATAGTATGATTCAAAATGGTAAATTACAAGTTACATATACTCTTAATTGGTTCACAAAGTTCCATTAGCCATGACTTTTAGATTTTATTTGCATGAATCAAATGCTGAAATAAGCTGCAACACTTAGTGACACCAAGTGATCAGGTACCAGTACCACATGTTATAGTTGATGCATAACATGGATTGTGTTGCTGAGTAAGAATGCCAACCATCAATTGACTTTCTATTTCATATACACAAATTCAATGACCACATGGATTAGTTGATTGGATCATTGATTAGGAGTTGGGCATGTTGGTGAGTAGCTATGTTGGTGAATGGTGTGTACTAGCTATGCTAAGCGCAACACCACATAACACTGGTCAGCCCGGAGAACCAACACCAACTAGCATGGCATCTGCATGAGCATTCTGTGCTAACACATTATCAAAGATGCTCCCATGCTACACACTTTAGGACAGTTGCTTGGATCCACTATACAGATTCAGGTCAAATAAAATTGTTAAGTCTGCAGTAACTAAAGTTCCATTGTCATATTATTCCCTACAAAATGCTTCGTCTCCCTAATTTCTTGTACTTTTTGTTTTTATTTATATTACATGGACACTTATATTGGCACCCATGAGCAAGTTTTACTTGAACATTATTTTTATTTATTATAGTATGATTACATTGACTGCTTACATATTTTTGTATCTAGCATCAACAATTGATAATGGTTGGACCTTAATGTCATCGTAAGATTAATCTTTGCAAATTAGTTACCAGGATTTGAGCAGCCAAAACAGCTTCTTTGTCTATAAGTGGAAGGCTGAGACCTGAGTATGCTGACCTTCCCTAGGTTCTGTATTGGCAGAAACCTCATGCACTAGGTAAGCCTTTTTATGAACATTTAATGAAATTAACAGAATAATACTAAGTTCATCATAAACTCTTGTTATTTTCTCTATGTCCTTAACATCTACGAAACAAAAAATAAGTAATTTCCATGAATATATTTGAGATGCTAGTTAATTACTAATAACTGATTGTGAATCATGATAATATAACTACATATTCTGAAACTATAATCAAAAGCCAAACTTCATTGAAATGAATAATTCATTAAAGTGTTCTCCTTTCATGAATGTTTTTAAGTTTGAAATGTATCATGCAGTATCAATGTCCCATATCTAATACCTTCATAGATAGAACTATTGTGATGTCAAATGTCAGTAGAATACAAGAATTCAATTTTTATATGATTCTATAATTTCTTATTTGTTTTAACTTTCAATGTTTTATATTCTCACAACACTACAATGTATTTATCATATATATTTTGAAACAACAGTAAGTTATCCCCACATCTCTGTTTTTGTATTTTTTTGAGAATTGGACTCTTTGATATGAGTCCATATGAGGATCTCATGACTATGTCTATGTCTATGCAACACTCGTTACGATGGGTTAGTACAGCTCATTAATTCATATCTAAGCAACCAATGATCGGACAAATAGTAATGACTACTCAATTTCTCACATAGCATAAAAGAAGGAATAAGAACAATATAAATCATACCAATATGTGCAAGTACGAAACAATTCTAGCAGTATATTAGTCACAAGATTATCACAAATCTCAAAATTAGTCATTCAATGGATCTTTAGCTGTCCAAATTAGAAAAAGAAATGACTGGTTTACAAAGGCCTGCATGCATAAACATAAACAAACAGTACGTACTGCCTGTATCATGCCATTGTAGGCGGTACAGCGAAAGTTGGTTTAATCAGATAACAATTTCAATCATCTTGACCAAGAATTAAAGTTTCAGGAGTACCAGGACAATAAAAGCCAAGTACCTAATCATATCAATCTACAAATATAAACCGCCAGACTAACCAAAACAACAGTGAGATGCTGCTTTTTATATTTACGAGTTAGGGTTAGATCTTGTTTCCCCTTACCGTGGAGGCGTGGACTCCACATTCTTCACACCCTCGACTTAGCTGCACCCTAACCTACTATCAGTTCAATCCATTGATCAAGATACCAGCATTTTTCTTAAGACAAGTCAACCACTTTTCTAATTCTCTTTCTATTTCAATTTTCTCATTTCTTCTCATGACTACCTTTGAACATCACCGAGTTAGGTTATTATTTCATTCCCCCTTCAACCCTGGAGTCGACATCCTGTAAATTCTCAGCTTCAACTGCATTCTTTCATGCCTCCAGAGAAATCCATCAGTGGAAATAAGCATTTTTCTTAAAGTGATCCTCATCGCTCTCTATTTCAATTTTCTCATAATCACAGCATGTCTACATCAGAATGTGACTGTATTGTACCATGCAGATTGCATGTCCATGCCAGCCATATTTGAGCTTGAGTATGTATGGTGAATATGAATAGTTTCAACTTGATCACTTTCTTTCATCAAATGAATTTTTTAGTGAATAAATTATTGGTTTTAATTATGATGATAAAAAGACAAGTCCAACATAGAATGGTTGCAGAAATATTGTGTAACAAACACCAGACCATAAACATAAAATAAAGGATAACAAACAAAAGAATAACATTAGTGAAAGTACTTGTATAGTTTGGACTTGGCAGAACAAGTACAATGTGGCTATAACCAGTAATTCAAATTAATAATTCATGACTAGAATGTTGTTTTGACACAACGGGCAAGTGAGGAGTTGTTATGCTAGTAGCTGTTCTCTACAAAGTCAGATTTTCATTGTCAATAATGGGTTTCTATGAGTTCAATAATTGTGATTGAACTCATTAAAGTTTTAGATCTTAGACAGTTTTCTAAAAAGATAGAATGGAAGTCAATGAAACACATGCCATTTCCACATGTTGATTCAACAATATTTAAACCAAGGTCCGCAATACCGTACCGTACCGGAGTTTCGACCTGGGCTCGGTACCGGTACGGTACAGTATACCGCTCGGTACACCCAGGTGTACCGAGCGGTATATTCAGGCGTGCCGAGCACTGTAGCAGTGCTACAATGCTACAGTACTGCTACAGTACCGTACCGGTAACAGACGGTCCGCGTACCGGAAGCCTGTCGGACCGGTACATACCACCCGTACCGGGCGGTATGGACCGGTACTGCAGACCATGATTTAAACACCCAATACGAAAAATATTGACATAAAAGAATAAATATGTCATCGTTACCATCATAAATATATCTTTACACATCACCCAATTAGCTAATTCGAGAAACAGGTAGTTATAAGTCACAACAAATGATGGAAGTAATGGCAAAAGCAACCAAATCCATTCATCAAGATGTTACTTTGCACCGTTGTGTGTCCAAACACGAAAATTTACTTAAGATGAAAAAAGTAGCATTCTCATGCAATTAATTTTATTTAATCCACATCACAGAAAAATGATGTCAAATTGCAAATAAGATCAACCCACCACTCCCCTAGTTGACAAGTCACAAGAGAGACAAAAAATATATATAATAAATATGATCAAAGTATCCAAACAGTAGTTCCAATTATATCAAGTTTTTGGAGGAAAAAAAACGATACTCATACAACATATCCTAAATGTATCAAGAAGAATAATGATTAATGAGATATCAGGATTTGGTTAGAATTTCAACATCTACATGACTACATATTAGATTGCATCATATTCACTACTCAAAAGATGAACCAGAATGCATCAAAATGCATTAAATACAAGAATACAATCTGATAAGCAGATTCAAACCTCCTCAATTATTCGAAAAACTTCAATTATTGATGCAGCTTGTCTTTGTTGATTTGATAAAGGCTCCCAATCCTATATAAATCATATAATGTGCTTATTTAAACTGCATGAAGAAATAAATCACTAAGGAGAAGTAATCATGGTCGTACATAGCTCATTGTTTACCAAATCATCTATTACAAAACAATTGAAGAGTTAAGTAGCATTCCCATTTTAGATTGCTCCAGTAAACTATGAAAAAATGTTTTCCCAAACTTAGGAAAGACTACTTTGTGAAGGTTGTTGCCGGAACACAGATGCATGCCATTTTCAATATGTCCCAGTTCTAAACCAATCTTAAGCTCATTTGAAAGACAACTAGCAAATTCTAAAACAGTGTAAAATTCATAACACACATTATATTCTCTTGACAAACTTGCTGCTGATTATATATAAAAAATAAACAAAGATTAGTCCATCAGGAGGTGACAAATAAACTCAATGGGTGGGCCATACCCACCCAAAAGAAGAGAGAAGACAAAGAAGAAAACCAAAAATCATCATAAACTCAGTATACCTTATCAAGTGGAACTATTTAAGTTTTAAGAGTGTAAAAAATATATGATTTAAAATTCTTAAGCTTTTCAAACATCATAGATCATGTTTGCAGGAGCGAATCTTCCATTAGGATGTGATTCGATTATGGCCTGAACCCACCTGTAGGATACTAGCCCTATGTCAATGTATTTTCTTTATCTATATATGCATGATTCACCATATTGTTCCCCAGGTTCGTCTTTGATCAGATCACTTGATGCATGTCCTATCCATTATTGTCTTATAAAATCTATATGGTTTTGTCCAGTTCCCATACCAGAACATGTTGAGCTTATCTACATAGAATAGCACTTGAAAGCAACAAGTCACTGAAAGAACCCATGTGGTAATATCATGTTGGTATAACGCAGCCAAAACTCACAAAATTATAAGTTCAAAACAGTCAATACCTCATTCAAAGAAAAAATTGTAAGAAAGCTAGAAGATATGAAGCATGGTTTCTCAAACCAGATATAACAGTCAATACCTCTATGTTAATGGCACGTTGTGTCCATTCCAAGATGTTATTTTGTTGAGTTTGCACCCAGTGAACAATAAGTGGAGAACAGAAAGATCTAATCTGTAAAGACAAATATAATTAGCTTCACATCAACTTTGTCAATTCGGAAAATTAATAATTAGCTTCACATCAACTTTGTCGATTAGGAAAAACATTAGTGTACACATGCATGTTTACAGATGTCTAAGTCCAAGGATAAGCATTATGGCACTAGGAAGCTACAGTACAGTACCATACTATTTCATCAGAAGACCAGTATGGTTTTGGTATGCAATATGGAAATCTTTGATCATACTTACAAAATCTTCAAAAGTAAATATAAAATTTTAAGCATTCTTCAAAATGTTTATGGGCAAATAGTGATCGAGGAAGAGTAACTTTTCTATCAAAATAGAACGATGTTGTAAGAAGAATTTGTTTTCTTTCCATAAGTAGCCCTAATAGTTTTAGTATTTAAGTGAATGCTTGCCAAAACAACACAAATAGTTTGTGAAAGAAAGAAACTAGTGTAAGTCCAAAACTTCTGTAATTGTTTTCGTGATAAATAATGAGAAAATCTAATGGGAAAATGTTAAAAAGTTTTTAACCAAATAATTTGACTAGCTGATGAAGTTTAACCTGGATATTTTTACCACACAAGCTACCTAAAATCTGAGAAATTAATTTTAAACCTGATAAGGATGTATATAGTTGGCTGTTGGAGATCTCTTTTTTTCTCCATATGCAGAATGCAGTATATACGTCAGATAAGACTCCAAACTATTTGATGCTGCAAGCACTTTGATGGTGCTTTCTGAAAGATGTGAGACCACTTCCAGGAATGGCTTCTAGACATGGAAAAAATAGGATTATTTAGACAACTAGTGCAAATACTAAATAATGTGGTTTATAAATGATGTAACATTCGAATAGTGAACCTCCATTCATATAACATACCAGGTGTTTCCCATATAACTGGTGCAGAAGAACAGCAGCAACTATCCCAGCTTCAGGATATTGCTGGCATAAAACAGGACTAAATAGAGTGTACTCTTTCTCAGCAACTTCCTTAAACTTGTTTGCTAGCATGACAAGAGAATGATCCTTTTCCAAATTTTCTGCATCCAAAAAGTTGAGGACCTAGACTTACAAAGAATACAAAGTTTGTATCCGAATCTTTGTTGGAAACATGATGGAAAACTTGAAATGACAGAAATTACCCGTCTGTATGCAGCTCCAATTGACTTCTCAACAAACATATGGGCCAACTTTGATGCAGCAAGGTTTTCAGCCATAGGCCTGACGTGCTGTAATTGAACAAATACTGATGTAGTCAACTGACATGACAAGTTTTGAATTGAATGATTATTAACATGAGAAGTCTCAATATAGGCAAAATATTATACGAGGCAGAAAAAAAAATGTATTTATAAGCCATTGATTTATGGGACTTTTGACACACTTTGTGTCACTAAAAATACCAATTGTTTGACACTACTTGTAAGCATATCCACTTGCCAGAATCTGTTCATCACGCTGTTCCCAATTGGTTCCCATTTGAATAGTTTGTTTGTAGAATTCCATTAGATTCTAAATAAAAAGCACGTTCAGTTTTCTTCCTGATAAGGTTTACCATACCGTGACGTACCACTCGATACGGGCAGTACATATCGGTCTAATAGGGGACCGATACGGGTGGTACATCGGTACACACCCATATACCATGTGTCAGTATGTACCATACCAACAGCTGGTTCGTACATCAGTATGGACCAAAAGGTGAACCATGATTCTTGATGTAACAAAATGTTATTAACTAATAAGGTCCTTAAAAAATGCTCCCTGTTGCAATGCCAAAGAGCTTTGTATGTTACAAGAGTGGTGATGGTACACATAAAGATCAATAATGATACCCATACAAATTCAGAAGAGGATACTATATTATAAGTTATCATTTACCTTCATCTGTATAAGCATATGGGCTAACAAGGACTAGTCAATTTGGGTGGCTCCCACACGACGTGAATCCCGAAAGGCGCCTCTAGTAGAGGAGTCACCTTTGGCTCGTACGAGGCATTGATTCCCCTACTCCTCAACCAACGTGGAACTAAACGTGCTTATCAGTGCCTGTATGAGAGTTAAGGCCTTTGGCCTCATGGTGGGCCTCATCTGATAAGTCATCATTTGTCTTTATTAGTGCGAGAATGTAGGTTCGCGACGAATTGTCAGCTCTGGGTGGGTCCTACGTGTTTTTATCCTTTAGAGGTGGACACCGAAAGGCGCCTCTAAGGGAGGAGTCACCTTTGGCTCTTATAAGGCCTTAGTTCCTCTACTCGAGCGATATGGACTAAGCATGCTTATCACTATACAGCCTAGAGCACAAGGCTCCAGAGCAAATGTGGTTCTCTGACTAAATTATATAGATATAAACAAGGTTTCCAGACCTATGCTAGCCCATGGCTGGTTCCATATGGATCTGGTCCGTTCCAACGTACATATCGATATGCAGGAACATATCACAGTACCAATTTGCTTGGGGCGAGAACAAAGAGGAAGGAGGAAGAGGAGGAAGAGGGTCGAGGGGATGGAGGAGACGGAAGAAGCAACAATGAAAGAAGAGGAGGAGATATATCATCGATGAAGCATGAAAGCAGCAGAGATAAAACACTCACAAGCCCTAGTTTATCAGGCAATGCGAAAAAAAAAAAAAGCATTAAATAACAAATCGAACCAGACCACTGGTTTTAAGCACTCTGCGTCCCATTGGTGGTCAGCAGACGTACGAGCAGTTTTTTCCTCTTCATCACAGTGTCGCTATTGTCTCCCAATCAGGATCCTCATTTCCTTCTCCTCTTCTTCCTCGTCAACTCTTCTCCTTATCCTCCTACTCCCATGCTTTCTCCCTGTTTCCCTCTGGCCCAAGGGGTTACCATTCCATACTATGTGTTTTGTACGTTGATCCAGACCAGTCAGGTTGCCAATTGGTATTGGCACTGGACCAAGATTTGAATCTCTGACAAAGTTCTTATAATAGATTCTTGAAATAGATGCTAATGCAGGTTTGCTAAACTTGGTGAAAAGTTACCAAACACATTACAAAAGTATAGTACCAGAAAAGATCTTCTGGAACTGGAAGAAGTGTATTGATTACTGACCTTGATTTCTGCACATTCATAAGGAAAACTTGATCCGGTAAGACATGCCAATGCCAGCAAATCTTGAAAAGTAGAACAATTATCCTATTTAAAGAAGACAACAGCAAATTAGTAAATAAATCCTCCAATATTAGGTATCTTCCACAACTAAATACAGATCAGTTGATTGTACATTACTTATCTACATAATCGATTACACCACATAGTCAAAGAGGCAAATAGCAGCTCATTCTTCTTGCAAACATGAAAATTGAATTAAAAACTGCATTTAACCATGGTATGAAATTTCGAATGGTACCGCCCGGTACGGGCGGTATGTACCGGTCCAACGGTATACCGGTACGCGAACCGCCCACTACCGGACGAACTGTGCTACATTGCTACAGTAATACACTGTAGCAGTGCTACAATGCTGCGGTAGGAGGAAATCGCTCGGTAAGCCCTGGTGTACCGCTCGGTATGCCGGTACCATACCGTATCGAGCCAATCTCGAAACACCGGTACGATATAGTATTGCATATCTTGCATTTAACAATTTATAATATTCAGGAAAATAACTTCTTTAAAGCTCAATTTGATGACAGTATGCTGCACTTTAAAAGAAAGGGGAAAATCCAAAATAGCCTTCCTCTAACTTCTATCAGAGTGATTGGTTAAAAAAATAAATCCCAATAACTTCCAAGGCTTGGTATGCGAAGACCAAATAGCCATAACTCCCATATTGTTTCATTGATCCTAAACTACAACATGCACATCTTTGAAAACACTGTTATGTTGAATAGCCTCTGCAAAGCTTCTAAAGTGATTGGCATTCTTTAAGATAAATTGGAGTACAGTCATCAAGTAGTTATGGTTTTGCTCATCAAACTTTATCATACCTAAACGTAAGCAGAAATTATCAAGCTACTTGTGCATAGAATATATATTCAAGGAAAAATAACCTGATTAAAATGCAGATGATAGTCCTCTAGTTGATTACAACACCACATATTGATATTAAAGATAACAGAATCGACCAAGTTCAAAACCCTTCTACCACCAGATGCTACAACTGAACAACTGAGACTGCTTGTATACTGTCCCATCATGTCACCATCTTCACATGATAGTGCTTTGTGTAACTCGACAACTGTGAGTTTCAGAAGTTTTAACTCACCCGTCTGAACAAACTACAATGAGGGAAAACAACACTTCTTATTAGACAATGGTCCAGTAAACTAGTAAAGTTGACAAAGATAAAATTAGGTATTTGTTCCGAGAACTACATCTTTTAGCATCCATGTACTGCTTAAAAAGACTGTCAGATATGCATCTACAGAAGTTAATTCCAATTCAAATAATAGACCACATTAAGAAAGAAGTCACATTTTAAATGAATATGATCAAAGACTTCATTTTCACTGGAAGAAACTGAAAATGCACCTAATTTCACGAACAGCATTATGGATATGGATGCAACAGCATGCATAAATAGGTGGACCTGATAAACTACACATCATTGATGGATTGTGGTTGACAATACCTAATTGAATTACAACCAAAGGCAATGAGCTTTGACTTGTTCCCTAGGGTCAATTTCGGGCATTGGTTAACAAATCTAGACCAACCAAAGCCTTCCAAAATGCCAATTAAAGTTTTCCAAGGCCGTCACTCCCAAGTCCCAACCAACCTCTATTATAATGACCACTCTTCATTGAGCTACTCAATAGTATCTTTGTTCTCCACCAGTCACATTCTCTTAGGCGCTACTGTTATTCTAAGGTTCAGTTTTAGATGCTATTAATCCTTGAAGATTCACTTTCATTTGCTTGAATCTGCTTTTGCATATCACAACACACAACCAACTCAAGTTTTCCATTAACTACTAGTCGCATAACATCCTTAATAACAAAAAGATGTTCCTACCATGAAAACATGCTAAACCTGAAAACCAATTTTGTCCAACTTTAAGAAATCTTAATTGTTATCTATAGTTAATTGATCATTTCATATGTTTATGAGATCTAAACTAAATATTCACAACTACAGATGAACCTATATGTAAAGTTAAAGTTCATTAGGAGAAACATCCAAACAAATTTATGAGAACTTTTATTTCCATATGTTCCCTTCTATAAGTTTACAAACATGACATGTGTTATTACCATAATATTTTTCTTAATTTCCACTCTGCACAAAACAAAAAAAACATTGTCAAATCCCTGAAGGTGTTTCAGTTGAATAGTCATGCATCGATGCAAATTAACATGCGTCCTACTTCATTATTAATACTAATTCTGACTTCATCACAAGAATATGTGAAAAAATATGCGAAACTACAAGGTGAAATTTTTAACATAATAGCATAAAATCATAATTTCCTAAGCATATAGAAAGATAATATCATGAACACACAAATGTTTAGGATCAAGTACCGAACAAAATCGGGCAACTACAAATTAGGCCTCAGAATATAGCATTGGAAAAAACCTAACAAAATTGTGAAATATGCATAGCCACACACTTATATGTTGCATGAGTACTAATTACCAGGACTCCATACTAAAGACATTGTTATCCTGATCAAACTTATCAATCAACAGAATGTCCAGAATCAGTAATAAGTAAGATAAATAACTCAAGAATTTTGTTGTGATTAGATTTCATTTTTGTGAATTAAGTTAAACCAAGTCCACTAAAATTGACTAAATATCTGTTGCTCATTTATCTTGTTGCTAGTTCTGTCAATATGTTGTAAAATTTAGCACCATATGAAAAGAAAACTATTCACAGTTCCAATTTTCAACCACATTGTCAACTCGATCTAGAATACTCAGTATCAGCTTTTAGCCATACTACTCAAGATATGATAAGTACCTGTACGAAAAGCACCCAAGCAAATAACGCATCATGGATCTTTTCAGTAATGCCTAATATGGGCCACGTCAACCTGAGAAATGCTAGAATTTCTTCGGCTTCCTAGAGTAAATTCAGAAAAGAGCATTACGTTGACAAGCAATCTAGCTCTCTTTAATTTAATCAACATATATTTGCATCAATTAGATCAAACTTACACACCTGTAAAAGCTGACCATCTTCAAGAACATCAAAAACACTAGAGAGTAACCTCTCATACAATTTGATGTTAAAATGATAACTTTCTGTCCAATATAAGGTTTCATGTGGAATCCCAAACTTTCCAGGCATGCTTGACAATTCAGAAGCATAATTTCTGAGAGCTTTTAAAGTCTCAGCAAGCCTGTCTGTAGAAATCCACTCCTGTGACCACAACATGAATCGAAATAGGAGTTAAGAAAATAAACCCATAATTTGGGTCAAATATATGAGTAGCAATTTACTTATAACAAGTCCATGAATTCTAAAAAGTCAAGCAAGAACTCATGTCATAACTTCTAAAACCTATGAATTACATTGTAATTGAACAAGCTCTTGCCTCAGTGTTTCTAAGGTTTGAGATAAGGTTGCTCAGTTTTGCAGGTGTAACAGATATGGAGCTAATAGAACGCAGGAGAAGTTCTTCTAGGATATTTGCCTGTAAAAATAAATAAAAAATAAGAGAAAGCGTAAGAATCAATATGCAAGGCAAATTCGATCAAGCCATGATTTTGTGGCCACCTGTCTCTTCTGCCATCGCACATATGACCTTTCATTAGGAAAATCAGAACTGCATACGACACTTAAGAGCTGCAAAGTTATCCGAGGGACATCAGCTTGTTTGTGCATCATCTTCAAAGTGAAGTTCCTCAACCCTTTCTTAGTCAGTGCACTGATTGCTTCAGAGATCTAGGGGATTAAAATTAAATTACATTCACAGTTTGCAAAGAAAAACTTGCAGAGAGTAGTTATTTAAATGTGAAAGCAATGGACTTGTTATTATCTGACATGTCCAGAAAGGCAAAAGGTGAATGCTGGCTCCCCTTGTGGAAGTCTTATTGTTACCACAAGCAAAAGTATAGCAATTTCAAAACCAATCCAAGGTGGGGAATTTCAAGTTGAGGAGCTAGACCACTTGTTATCATTTTCTAGATATAGATTGGACTAGGAGAAAAATACATGTCAACCAAAATTTCAACCATAAAAGAAAATATAGTAGAACCATATCAACTCAATTCTGCTATCAGAAACCAAAGTACAAACCAAGTTGATAATGAAAACTAAATAAGAAAATTTTAAAAAATAATTTAAAGGTAAGGCTACGTACATTGACCCTCTCCAGACCCTGCATTGGTAGGAGCCTTCTGCACTGGGTACACCCTTTATTTATGAAAACGGTATATTTCATTCTTATCAATGCCCCAGAATAGTCAAAAATCAAAGTGTATTTAAAGAAACTTATTTGAAAACCTAGCTTCCACTGATTACGGTGGTATTAATCTGGCAAAATGATTATTTAGAGCCAGCTTTATAGACAAAAAGGTTAGTGTAGTTGTTGGATGGTTAAGACAGCTTGTCGTTAGAGATAAAGGTGGCAAGTTCTGAACCCTCTTTTTTGTGAATATTTTATCATAGTTTTGTAGATGAAGAGGGTCAACATTTCTTTGCAAGGACAAAATCATAGTGCAATGTTCACCAAAGAGTGTAAATATTTATTTTTTGCTGTGACAAATTCAACGACGTCAATTACAGTGGATTTCTTTTTATTTGGAAGATTAGTATAACGGTATAACACTATAACCTATCAATATATTTTTAACAACTGTATATAATGCATATCCAACATCTTGATTTTTAACAATCAGCTCAATTCAGAAGTTTCTCTGCTAGCACTAGATGTGACCCAATACATAAGGCACGACCAATGGATCACGAGCGGGTCAAGTTTGAATAGGCCGTTTTTATCACTCAAACTTTGACAACTAGGTCATAAAAAAAGACCCTAATACTGACCTAGGCTTCACCTCAAGTTCAACTACAAACATTGAGTTCATGATTTATTAACTATGCAATGAAAAAACAAAAGAATCTAAGTGCCAGAAAATATGTGCATGTAAGATAAGAACTATTAAGATCTAAATCACTTAAATTTTGCTATAAAGTAGAAAATAGAGGCCATATACATATTAACCAATATGTCGTAGGAACTTGTACACAAAAGTGAGAGTTGAATATCTGATAGAATGTAGAGAAACAACAAATTATGTGAAGTCTTACCTGAAATCAACTAAATAGACTATACAAAATCACCTAGGAAGTTGGATAAATATATTCCTTATTAGTGCACACATGTAATGGATGATCTCTGAAAGGAAAAAAATTCAAATCTTGCCTCCAATTGGACACGAACTACTTCCAACATGGAATAATTGCAATCTTCTGTTACTGAACCGAGCTCATCGTTAGTAGCCTGTTCACTTGAAGCTCTAAAATTTTTCCCATTCTTCTCATCCTGGAAAAGGTCTGCTTCTCTCCTGAGTTTGCAAGAAGTTTATATCAAAGTGAAGAAGGGTACAGGAGAAAACAAAATGGGCAGAAGACACAAGTTATATAGCCTGGTAAATTTAGAGATAGAGATTACCGAGAAAGTACAAATGAAGCAAGAAGCACCTCGTACGCTGTTTGTTGTATATCATCATCAGACAACCCTTCAAGGTCCCTAAAACTAATGATCAGCTCAATGGGACCACAAATAGAATATGGTTACCGAAATTTACAAGGTATATACAAAGTATATGCTGCAGAAATGGAACAACCACCGCTGATGCATAGACAAGTATTTATTGCATCAATCAAGTGTGAATTATGATGTATATGTACCTGCAGTGATTGAGGGTAAACCTAAAGAGAGGGCTTTTGCATCTTTTGCTGGTTGGGAAGGTAAATTTAACGCAGATGTATCAGCAGCATTCTCAATTTGACACTTCCCAGTTCCTTTACCAATTAAATTGTCAAGTTTCCCTGCTGAAGATGAAGGATGGCTAGTAGAAGTTTTCATCTCAACCTGAGGTGCAATTCGCACAGGAGGAGATCCAGATAATTCTGGTCTTGAGAGAAGAAAATAAAATCTTCCTGATGACAAGTTTATCTGCGAAAAAACAACATATTCACATCAAAGTTCACAAAAGATCTTCTGTAGTTAATAACAAACTAGGATTACATGCATGCATCATTTCAACAAGAAAACATCTCAGACAAGTAGCACACTAGGCTCCATAAAAGAGAAAAACAAAGTTCCAAATAGTGCAAAAAATGTAGAAGAAAGGAAACTAATGGGTATCAACCACACTGGGAGAAGTGAAATTAAATTTTTCAATCATCACCAAGAACAATTTATTAATGCATCACAGATTTTACCATGTGGAATTGATAGGTTGACATATACAGAAAAGAATACTATACTGTGAATGTTTGCCATGTCACTTCAAGTGGCAATAAAGCATGAACCACCAGCAGTACCTGCCAGCTCTCAGCTACAAGATCCCTAATAAACAACTAAAGCCTATACACAAACTGATATTCTCTTATTATGCATGTTCTTCAAAAGCAATAGCTCTTATAAATAGCCAATTAGCCTTCTAGGTGTAGTTTTATCCTCCCCCTAATACTCCAACTGCTTGGACGACAACAATAATATGACACAAAAAGGGAACAAGCCACCGATTTTTGGATGAGAAAATGATAAGAAGATTCCAAACGTGGATATACATAGAAAGGTTGATTACTTTGTGTGTAAGTAGCTATGTCTAGTTGCACTACATAAAATTCTTAACCAATCATCATTGTGTAACTCACAGAAACAAAAGAAAAATCTTAATCATGGTATTCATGCAGCCGTGTTCAGGAATATATTGTGAAATTGTGATTGAAGCTAAAAGCCATGAATCATGTAGAACACAAGAAACATGTTATCCATCTCGACACATATAACATCCTTATCAGGGTCCAATAATCTAACAGACACCAAGAACTTGAAGCAAAAGTGGATGACCATGGAAGAGTAAATTATTTTGTGCCTAGCGTGGGCTATCTCACACTACAGAAAATTCTTGACTGAGAGTCATGGTGAAATCCAGGTATGAAACAAGAAGAAAATCTTAATTGAAGTATCAGAACAGCCACATTCTAACAAAGTGATACAAAATAATGGACAGAGCTAAAAGCCAAGAATCATAAAACCCAAAATAACAGCTATCTGTCTCCACATAGATCACGTCCTTCCACACAACTGGGTTATCCAAAATATACCATGCGCCTAGCAAGCTATCTCTAATCGCACTACAGAAAATCCTTGACCATCTATGCAGCCATGTTCCAAGAAAGTAATGCAACATCATGAATAGAGCTAACAGCGAAGAATCATATAAAACCCAAGAAAACAGCTATCCATCTCCACATGTATAGCACCCTTACCATGATCGGACAATGGAACAAATACCAAGCACTAGAAGCATGAGCAGATGGACAGAAGGGTCAATAACTTTTGCCCCTAGTGAGCTATCTCAAACCACACTACAGAAAATCCTTGACCAAGCATCAAGGTGTAATCCAGGGTACAAAAGAATCTTTAATCACACTATTCACACACCAATATTTCAAGAAAGTGACGCAAAACCATAAAAGAAGTTAAAGCCAAGAATCTTATCGAACCCAACCCGTCTCGACACATATAACTCCGTTACCATGATCGGGTTATCAAACATAAACCAAGAACTCGAAAAATAAGTGCATGAACATAGAAGGATAAATCACTTCTGAGCTTAACAGTTGACCAAACGTCATTCTGTAACGCGAGGTACACAAAGAGAAAGTTCATAATCGCAGGATCCATACAACCATATCTGAAGAATGTAACGCAAAATCATGAAAACCATATACAGCACCTTACCATGATCGGGTAATCCAACCCTTCCCGGTACCTCCTAGAAGCTTCGGAAGGATCAAAGTCTCCACCTACAATCACGCCAAAGAGACTTCAACAACCGGAACGAAAGCGGCGACATTAAAGAACGAAGAAAAGAAAGCTCAGCTGAACAGCACCGGATTGTATGCATTCAAGAACATAGTCGGCGCTAATCGTATCCAAGTCGAGGGAGGCTAGCGCCGGAGCCCGTAGGTGATTCGTTGAGACGAGGAACTCAAGGAGCTTGCGGCGATCGCTTCGATACCGCTGCAGAAGTAGAGAGGATTCCATCTGCCGATGGATGCCAGGAGTCGTCGAGCGCTCAGATAAATGCCCTTCTCCTCTGGACCTAGATTCTCGGGGAGGGGCCGCTTTTTTCTCGGAGGCGACAAATAAAACCAGGCCCGCTTTTTCTCCCTATTTACACGTACAGAGCGATGTTTCATATTATTTTTGTTTTTCTTTTAATTCCTTCTCCTATAACTATAACCTATCATTATAAGTATTGTAAATACTTGTTGTAGAGAAGGAAAAGACGAGCTTTGGAAATAACCAATATTTATTACCCCTTCCCCCCAACCCGACCGGATCAAATCAGACCGGGACACCGCCGGTTCAGTCGATAAGAAAACGAAAAGGTCAATGCACCACGAACAATAGATCATGATAAAGCATGCGCCACATCAATTATAGTATACTATTGACAGAACAATATAGATCGCTCACACATTAGCCAAAACATCGCTGAATCACACAGCAAAAGATACATGAAACAAGTTTTCTACCATCTCCCCCATTGAATCACACACGTTTAACTCCTAACCACTCCGAATCGCAAGATACAAGTACGTGCTAAAGCATCTTGTGGGCAGGCATCATCTACACCTCCTCCCTTCCGTGGTTATTGCTTTTCGCGATATTGAATTTGCAGAGCGGACAAGTCGCATTTATGCGCAGCCATTTGTCTATGCAGCCGCAATGGAAATGGTGACCGCATGGAAGTTCTCGCAGCTCGACACCATCGTCGTAGGGAGAAAGGCAAATGCAGCACGCCTGCAAGGTAGAACAGACATCTGAAACAAGGTGGGGAACAGGCAAATGCAGCACTGCACCTATATGTAGCATTAATAAAAGGAAACCAACTATAACATTTTTAATGTGGTTTAACAACAATCTCGCACTTTTACTCGAAATATGACTATGTTTAAGATAACTAAAATGTGCTGAAATAATGCTACTGCTTGGAGATTGGCACTCAAATCAAATTGAAACATTGTCTGGGCTATTCAAGATGATAGCACAAAATTGTGGTGAAACCTACAAACTGCTTCAGAAGAATATGATAATTTCTCTTCCCTCTAGGGAAATTTCTCAAATTTAGTTACCGAATAAAAAAGACAGCTTAACTTGTAAATTTTATTTTATGGTTAGCAAAGCTGTGAAAATATTTGTTGGCATTTTAAATGAAGGACATAAAGAAATGGAGCATAGTTATATTAACCAGGATGGTTCAACTATTTAAGTTTCCTGCACCAAAAAATTACGTTAAATAGAAAATACAAAAAATGCAAGTTGTCCTGGCACCATCTAGAACTTTGACACCGACAAGGAACCTCAAAAGAACAAGAATAATAATGGAATTATGACATTTGTAAAGTGTGTGCTACATGACTAAATTCTCCTCATACCAATGAAACAAAATAATAGTTGTCCGAAAACAGTGAGATATGACATGTTTGAGTCACAGACACAATGACTTTTACATGTTTATGTTATTGACAGTGGAAAGAGTAGTAATTCACCAGAGTTTTAACTATGAGAAATAGGGTAGAGAAAACACCAGATAATACAGAAACAGTAAATCAAGATGTTCAAGAAATTTCACCGGGAAGTACTCTTTAAAACTTTCAACTCTCACCATGCTAAATGACTTAGAGAATTTTACTTGCTACGTGTTCTTGGTTGTCAAAATGTAGTCAACCATAAAGTTAAAATGGAGGTAAACAAAAAAAGTTAAGCATAGACTAGAAAGCTTACAGCATCCTCTGCAGGAAGAACACGCTCCACAGCTGGATCACTGCCACACTCTCTCATAATTCCACCAAAAGAGCTTGATAACTCATCAAGTTTTTCAGAATCTCCAATTTTACAAAATTTGTACTTTGAAAGTTGGCTTATGTCTTCTTCAGATGCTCCTTCCTGTTTTGCAAGTGAAAAGAATGCATTGTATATTAGACACTATAAAGATTCATGTATTAATGTGCCATACTACCACAATACTTGCTCACACCAAAACCACATGTGGCATATTGAATTATTGTTTCTCATGCCAACTTATATAATCCAGGCACCATGCCATTATAACGCATGCACATAAATACCACGCAAAACTGTAGAAGTGACCAAAATAGACACAGAAAAAAGAATATTAATCCTTGATATAAGACCTGAATTGATGGGATCAAGATAAACAAATATCTCCATACATTCTATATACCAAGGTATGTAATACAGTACCGTACCAGTGTTTTAAGGTTGGCTCGGTATGGTACGGTACCAGCATACCGAGCGGTACACCAGGGCGTAACGAACGGTACACCAGGGCTTACCGAACGATTTCCTTTTACTATAGCACTGTAGCACTGTTACAGTGTATTACTGTAGCACGATCCGTCCGGTAATGAGCGGTCCGCGTACCGGTATGCCGTCAGACCGGTACGTACCACCCATACCGAGCGGTTCCATTCGAAATTGCATACCATGCTATATACAACTACAAAAATCTACTTGTACCACAAATGAAGGCAGACATCTAAACAACTAATTTCCAAACGCATGGGTGACAATTATCATAATAGCACTAATTATCAATAATGTATGAATAATTTTTTTAGCAAAAGGACACCATAAAGCAAGGAATTTACCTACACAAAATGGCATTTTTTTAAAAAACCATGTAAAAGGAGTCCGGTAGTCACCATGAAAGAAAGCTTGAATAATAACTTAAATGGTATCCATAAAAAGGAAAAATTATTATAAGATGGAGAGTCCCTCACTGAATCTACAAAGAATCCAACAAGAATAACTGATAGTGCACGAGGAAGAGATGATATTACCCAGAAAGGCTGTACTAGATAGTGCTGGCACCTGGAATTCTACTAGAACAGCTCCAGAATACATTTTAGCTAGAGAAAGATTTCTATGGCATCTTTAATAAACACCCACTTAGAACCAATATTGATGACCTTCACATCAATTTCAAGAGCAAATGGCAACACTATATAAAAATCAACCTAACAGTAAACTACCCGAAAGAGCTCCAGCAAGTCTTGACACCTACATTTCTCAATCCTCAGATTGGTAACAGATGAAATCATTTTGGTAACTATATAGAATTTATGTCTAAAAATTGCTTAAATTGACAAATTCATCAAGAATAAGGCTGTAGCTACGACAGACACTAACACTCAAGGAGGCAAACCTGATCAGCAACAGCATACAAAATAGCAATGATGCAAGGCAGACAACAACAAACAGCTATCCCAATCACACATGCCAAAGCGACGCAGAAAACAACAAAGAACACATCAAATGCTAGGAAAATTATACACAGCCTGCAAAAAAAAGAAATGTTAAAACTCATTTGATACTAGAGTTTCAAATTTAGAAGCCAAAAGAAACAGTTGATCTATTTCTTAGCAAAACCAGTAAAGTTGAGGTGCATCATGGGTCAGTGCTTGGCCTCCAGCAGATACCCAGTAGAATCCAATAATCCACCATATGAATGAGAACATAGTGTTTGCAGATTCCAAATTCTTTACAAAACTGCCAAAAAAGGGTAACAGATGATAGGATCAAGAAGCAAGCATGGTATCCATGATAAAAATACATACATAAATAAAAATATCTTATATCTCAGTGGGATACAAAGGTTAAGTATTGAAAGGCATACAATAATAAAACTGTCTTATACCTCAATAGGCTACAAAGGTTAAGCATTGAAAGACAAAGAACCCACACAGGGTAAACATATATTTATTCATAAATATGATCCTTGCCCTTTCCAGGACTGGTATCAAGCTCGTATGAAAATTTGCCCAGATAACACTTGAGTTTCCCATCAGTTTGGGAATAATGGGGTCAGATATACCCTAGTGATGCCCTTCTATCTACAAGGGTATTTTTCCATGATTTCAATACATCCCAACCACCATTCAAAATAGGCAAAGTACATCACAGAATTTGTGCTAGGGAACATCAGCCAACAAGAAAAGATGGTGTATGACCAAAATTTAAAAAAAAAAAAAAAGAGAATACTCACATGGCTAGTATTTCATAAACCCAATATCCAAAGTAACAATTATGTTAGTGTCCACTATTAATGATTTTGCAAACACGTAAACACAATAAATCCTCTATTTTGGCCTAGCTGATTTAGCAAATTTATTGATGTAAACCACAAATTAACAATACAAATTACTTATATTTCCGCATACTTGCAACAATTTCACAAAAGATAAAGCAAGTCAACTATGAAGGTGCTAGTGGGACAAACTGGTCGTGCAAAATTTGACATCAATGCATTATTTACACCACTTAGTACCATGATGTCAAGATATGCACTTCTAACCTCAACTGATACTAGCACTTCTAACCTCAAGTAATACTCTAAATCTTCACAATTTACAGAATAGATTTCTGCAACCTTGAACCCATTAGAATTTAGCTCTTATCCAAACATCTATTACAATCGAACTTTATCCAAACCTTTCCAAGAGTCAATTATACTTCCGTGAGTAGTTTCATGGTATCTTCATAAGCTTTGAAATATTGATGAAAAAAGACAATCTATCCTAAAGGACCACTCCTCGGAACACACCAGACTCCTGATCCAAGGCCTTCATTTTCCAAGAAACTATTCAATCATTCATCTAAAAGTTGTGTGAATTTATACCAATCAATGTTTGCCAAGGTTTCCTTAGGCTACTTGTGATAATTCTGTACCTAATCTCAGAACCACCAAGATACACAGGTATTGCACTGGATAACTTCTTGCATGTCTTCCTTTGACACAGTGAATAGTAACTTCATCACGATGCCAATTGTTTCCTTTTTACGCTACCCACAACCATCTTAATATTCTCAACCCTAATATCATCATCTTAGCAGCACTGAACTCTATCAATTTTCAAGAAGCTCAATCGATTCATCTATCTGGATCGTCAATAAAATCCATTTATAAATTATAAGAACCCCAGAATGGAAATATCCAAGGAATGCCATGGTCTCTCACCAAATAGATACCATGTAATGCACGTAGGATTACTGTATCCACACAGAACCTGAGCATAAAACCTGCATGGCGCAACAAGTTCACTGTTCTGCACAGTGCAAAGTTGCCAGACAATCCCTAGACTGAATCAAACTGACCCATTTTAATACTCCTCCACCAATTCTTACCCTGACAACTTCTACAATGCCCTGGCTTCCTTAGCTTAGAAGACTAGAAACTAAGCTTGCTTGAATATTTTTTGCTAATCTCAGCCAATAGCTATTCAAAGCTTTATCTACATATGCATACTTTATCTACATACAGAACTTTGCATACTTCCTAGACAATATTTTGCACCCTTCCAATACAGTAATTTCCAGTGAGCTATCAACAAAATTAATTCGGAGAATGCAGACTTCCTATACAGAATATACCATTTTATCATAAACAGATATTTGGAGGATGCATATTTTCCCAATTTTCTGACACATAAGGTATATTTCCTTCATTTAAAGCTTTTGAGTTTACCGATATTGATTTTTCAAAAGCAACGCTCACATAAAAGGATAAAAACCACAACAGAAGACCTTAGTTTCAAGATCAAAATGATCCTTTATTGTCAAAGGTTACCCAATTGCCAGATTTTTAAGTTGGAGATGCCATCATTTCTGACCAGTTACTCTTGTCGATTCACATACTATAAGTCTGCCAAACAATCTCCAGATCCATCATGTAAAGGAAATTTAACATACTGAAAGACATCCAGAAATGTAGCTCATCTACATCATGCAGAAAGGTAACCGGTTCATGTACATCACGCAGAAAGGTAACACAAACATGAAACAAGCACATCATTCATTCAAAATCGATAAAAAATCACTGTAGTATTATATATCGAATCCATGTGGATAACAAGGGGGAAATCAGTGATATTTTGATAGCATCATAGTCGAAGCAAGACTTTAAGCCTCTCACCTAGTACCATCTTCGTCCTGACCCTGCTCATCGTCCATAGCTTCTCCCGCCTCCCTCGGTGAATTTGAGGCGGAGCTCCTTCCACTCCCACCCTCTTCCTCATCCAGAAGAGGCCCCGCGAGTGGGTGCCTTCGTCGGTACTCTATGCAAACACAGACCATATGCAGCACGCACTGCAGCGCATACCCCACGATCCAGAGCCGAAGAGGCATCGAGGGCATCTCATCCCGACTCAAAATCAGCACCCCGAAAGCCACGCCCACGAACGCCAGGTTCCACAGGATATCAAGAAACACCACGGGCTTGGAGTAGGCCCAGTCGCTCTGCCGCTCCTCCAGATGCTCCGCCGCCGTCTCTCGCACCATCATCGACGGCTCCCTCATCACGTGCCGGCTGCTCGCCCCGTGGAGGAATCGGGCTGCACGTAAGAAACCAGGGCCCCTCCCGGTCCGGCGGCCGCCGTTGGGGGCAACGAGGAGTGGCGCAGGGTCAACGCTGGCGTCCCCGCCGGGACCCGGAGGCCTCGTCGTCGCCATTCCCGATATCCAAGAGGCGAAAACCTTGTCCTTGCACTAGCCCCGACCGATCCGATCGCTTCCAGTCATGGCGATCCCCGCATCGAAACCCTAGGCAAATGAAAGAGACGACAGCTTTCCGATTTCGATCGAGGGAATGGAGGTCGAGCAGCAATGAACATTTGACACGTGACCCGTCAACTTATAGGAAGTGTGAGTCGCGAGTCACCAGAACGGCTTTTCCCGGACTCGACTTGGGCCTGTACAGGTCCAGCCCGTAGCTCAATTGTTGACACGCCCTCAAATAACAAATATATTTATTATATAATAAATATATCAAATTATATGTGTCTGTTAAGAAATAGAGACAGCTAAACCGTAAATAAAATATTATAGATTAAATCTGTATGAGATAGGGCACAATTTGGTAACATGCCCCAAGACAACATCAACAGCCACATCAACGTCAATGAAAAGCTTCGAAGTCAATGTGGCGGACCATGTCAATACACAGCCGCCATGCAAAGAGTGGAACAATGTTGCTCGGGTGTGATGGCGACGTCGCTCGGGTACGACGTCACCCCGTAAAGAGTGGAATGGCACCGCTCGGGTATGACGGCGGCATCGCTCGAGTGTGACGACCGCACTGCTCGAGTACGACTTCGCCTCACATAAGTTGGGATGGCGTCGCTCGGGTACGATGTCATCCTATAGAGAGTGGAATGATGCTGCTCGAGTACAACTCTGCCTCGCAAAGGCAGGGACAGCGTTGCTTGGGTGTCAGCAATGCCATGCAGGATAACTGGTGTCAGCACGAAAGGTCCATGGCCATTAAGAGGTCGATGGCCATTAAGAGGCTGGGGGCAGCCAACCCCCGTGGGTAAGCATAAAAACCTATTACCTGGCCAACATGAGGTAAGTTTTTTTCCGCTCAAGCATTCTACTCTCGCTCATTCAACCGAAAACTAATTTAAACTTCGGAGGGATCGAGTTGGAAATTCCCTCTCCCAACCTCGACTTGTGTGTAGGAACCCAACCACAAAGAAGCAAGCCACCCGCTAAGAAAGAAGGTCGCCCTTGAGAGACAAGGCTCGAACCTGACCCAACGCTCGAGCGACAATGCGGGAGACCCTGCGCATCGAGGATTCCGAGACAAAGGGTCACACTGGACACGGGACGGCCAAGGTCAACTTCTGAGCGTTAGACCAAGCAACCTTGCGTATCTGGAATCGATCGTAGCCGTGCTGACTCCTCAGTCACGATGTAAAGAGACAGGAACAGTATGTATCAGTGCCAACATCATCGTCCATCAAATATCGTGCCCTCTTAATTGATCACATTCATTGCTAGAATTTACCACATTATGGTTGTCATAAAAAGCTGGTAAATATCTCCCAGCTTCCTCTTCACAGGCCGATGAGTTGAACCACCGTTTCAGCGTCCCCTTCTCACGAAGACATGACCGGAGTGCAACCGCCTCAGTCAAGAGGTGGCACCGCCTGGGCTCAGTCTTCGAGCTCTGCCAGGCCGTGCAACCTCTCCAGTCAAGAGGTGCAACCGCCTGATCCCGGAATTCCGGGATTTGATCGTTTTGAGCTCCAAATTTGAATTGGGTTGGGGCCTATAAATACCCCACTCATTCAGCACTGAAAAGATACAAATCCACACCGAATTCTTGATCTTTTCAGTGACTCTAAGAGCTCAAATTTGTGTAAAGTCCAAAAGTTCTCCTCTTTTCTGTTCTTCAAGTCTTGAGTTGTAAAGAGAGGAGAGAAAGGATCTGTAAGGGTTGTCTCCTGAGCCCGTCAAAAGGAGAGAAACTGTAAAAGGGCAGTTGGCCTTCGCCCATTGAAGGAAGGCCCCTAGTTGACGTCGGTGACCTCGCTGGTGGAGGAAGCCAAAAGTGGAGTAGGTTAACGATGTCTATTTAACTACGCAGGATCACGCCTCCAATAAATCGACCATATTTACGACTAAGAAGCTTGAATTTTAATTATTTATAAGGTGAAATCTTTGTGTTAAATCTTTTAATTATTTATCAAGTGTCACCAGGTTTTTTTTTTAATCTCGATGATACCGTTGAATCAAACTATTCCAAATTGCAAATTCATGAGCTGATTCGATCTGATCTGGGCATCATGGTTCACAACAGATCATATCAAACTTTGTTAAATTTATAAACGAGTATAACCAAGATATTTTTATCAAGTCAATCCGAACTTCTCTAGAACTAATAGCACATTATTAATATTATTTTTTAATTTTTTTTAATTTTAGCGTGAATAAATTTTTAAATAAACTATTTTGAGTTGAATTTATAATGAGTATACCTTATTGAATTTTCATTAAATCTGTCTAAACTTATCCAAAACTAATAGGATGAGATGATAATAGGTTTAATATTTTTTTTTTATTTTTTATGATTAATTTTTTAAAATATCATATTAACCCTTATCTCGGACCTATGAATGGGGATATTCCCGATACTCACAAAGAAAAGGGGAAGTGACTTGGACAAAAAGAAACGAAGTGACTTAGACAAATTTTGTTTGTCGATAGCCTCGGACCAATCAATCGAATATTGATTAATATGTAACTAATCGAACACTACTCGTAAACGGTTCTTTTGTTCAAAAACGAAATGTTCCAAATGTTCCTGAAAATTCTTGCTCTCGTTGGATCATCTGTTCAAGATCTCGATTCATGGATCTCTCGGTTCGAGAAAAAAAAGGATCAGATCATTTTTTATTATCCTTTTTCAAATTCGATAAATATTGGTTGATCGTATATTTTATTATAGATGATTGAGAGTATCATTTCTCATTGTAAGTCTAAGCATCCACTTAATTCATTGTAAGTCTAACTGATCGAACACATACTTGTAAATCTACCATGACATGTTTCTAATTTATAATTGATTAAAAATAATTTTATATAAAAATTAATATAGATTTTAATATATTTTATGAATGAAAATAGTAATTTTTTGAATAATTTAAGATAATTTTACATAAAACTTAATATATATTTTTAAAATATTTTATAAATGAATGTAATAACTAATAAAAAAATAGATAAACTGTGAGAAGAAGAGATGGCGACGAAATAGAAGGAAAAAAATAGAAAAAGGAGGAGATGATGAGAAAAAGAGAGAGGAGGTAAAGGTCAAGAACGAAAAAGCCAAGGGGTTGGAAGAGGAGGCTACAGGGTGGGAAGAAGAGATGGTCATGAAGGAGAAGGACGAGGAGGAAGTGAAGGTGGAGAAGAAAGAGGATGAAGAGGAAGAGGTGAAGGAAGAAGAAAGTAGTGAGCTACAGGAAGCCAATGAGAGGGGAGAATAAAGCAATAGAGTGAGAGAAGAAGATGAGAGATAATTTAAATAAATCAAGAGACATTCTAAGATTCAATTAAATTAAATTATAATTAAAATTTAATTGAATCGATATATCAAAAATATAATTCAATCCTTACAAAATCAAATCAAACCTAGTCAAAAAATAATTATCATCTTTTTACGATTCCAGTAAGGGTGTTTTGATCAAATCAAAAACAAAAATCTTATAAAAGCTCATAATATATATATGCTAAAATCAAACTTAAAAGAAGTAAATAACAAAGTCAACAAAAAAGACTTCGCAACAATACATACGCATTTGTCTACTTGCATACAGGGAAGAAGATTACGTTGTCCTCTACAGGTGAATCAAATGCAAACAGGAAAAGAAGAGAACGCTGCAACCTGACACGACATTAACTCTGGCTGGGATCGAGCGACGGCATTTAGAGAGAGAGAGTCAATACCCGAACCACCACCGTTGCTCGGTGATGAGGATGATGGACTGCGTACAAGGTTTGCAGTCGGCCATTATTCCTTATCACTTAGCAAAGGTTCTTTATTCGCGCGGTTCGTTCTTGACTCAATCCACAGCCATGACACTCTCCCCCCCCTCCTCGTCGCACTTCGATCTCCGTCCTCTCAAGTCTCGCAGTGGAGTGCCGCCTTTATCTTCTGAACGGTGCACGAGATGAGGTTGTTGACGGTCTCCACCGACTCCACCGTCAGCTTCGCCGTCGGCTGACTGTTGACCAGGATCTGAAAGGCCACCGTCAGCAGCGATCCCGGAGCCTTGTGCGTCCCGCCGTCCGGGAGGATGGCGAAGCCGGAGGGGAGGAGCGAGACGTAGGCAGAGTCACCGCCGCTCATGACGAGGTGCATGGCTGGTATATCCACCGGGGCGTACACCACCAGCGACCCCGACGCGTCCGTGCAGGTCTCCTGCAGTATCAGCATGCTGCTCTGGGTTGCGTTCGCCGCCTGCAGATAAACTACCATGCTTAAGAAGATCACATTGCTTCAAATCACAACAAATGCATCGATCAGGACGAGTACGTATGTACAAAATACGAGTTGAGTGTGACCGAGGGCATCTACAGAGGTCAAACGTCAACGAGACGTCAGATCTAAGAAAACACAGCTACGGTACAGTCGTATCGATGGCCATCGCGCCTGGTCACATGCGAAGTCTACTGCCACCGCTGCATGTGTATGCAGAGGAAAGAAAACAGCCATGCTTGGGCAGAGAGGATGACGGTTGTTTCGAGACAGGTGGGTGCCACCAGAGACGACCACCCAGAAAATTTACTTTAAGATTCTCAACAGTGAGCACGGTTGACCTTGATGATCTTGATGAGGAATGCATGTGAAGTTACTGTCTAGCCTAGTAATGAGTACCAGTAAATAGGAGTTGTATGCTAAAGGGCCATGGTGGTGTGTTGAGACGGGATAGAGGATACTGACGCTGGCACGGAGGAGGGAGACGGCGTTGCCGGTGTTCTGGCCCTTGGCGATGTGCGCAATCTCCTGCATGGGCCCGCCGTTGGAGAGGATGTCCCACTGGCTCCGGAGCTGCTCGTTGCGGAGGAAGTCGAACAGGCGCTGCGGGGAGGCCGGGAGCCAGACCGAGGTGGCGGCACTGAGCACCACCCCCGGCGGCACCCCGGGGTCGGCCACGCTTTGCCTCGTCATCACCCGCACGTCCTCCCCGATGTTGATCGCGCCGCCCAGCTTGCTCCACTCGCGAGCCGATGACGCGCATACTCCGGCGCAGAAGTTGTCGGTCATCCGCTGCGCCAGCTTCAGCATGCTCCGCCGCCCGCTCGGCGTTATCGCTGCCATGGCATCCCGTCAGCAATCCGAGCACTTAATGCTACGAACGGCAACAGCCGCTATGGCATTCACCAATTCACATAAAGACTTACTGGAATCACCACCGGGAGAGAGGGATGGGGGTACGAGGACGGCGAGGGACTGGCGCTGGAGGGACGCGACCCAGCGGCGGGCGCCGAGGGCCGAGCCGGAGCGCAGCAGCGGGCGGTACAGCGGGTGCACTGTGGCCTCGTCATACTCAGAATGCTCGACCCACGTGACCTGCGCACCACCCTCGTCGTTAGCTCATTAATACCTCTTGTCGAATTGCCTCTCTGCCATATCGCCCCCAGTCTCACCAGCTGGACCTGTATATCACCATGCCCCATGGGTGCCAGTGCACCTTACCACTGGTAGGCACAGCTTATGGTCTCTCTTCCCAACATGGATAGTTGAGACTGCAAACTAGGGCTTACGGATGCGTTCATCACTAAACCCTATAATGGAATTCCATGGGCTACAATACCCATGTGTTGATTACTGAGATCAAGCAAGGACGGTGTTGAGAGGCAGGGATAACGTAAATTATAAAGAGAGGTGTCCAAGACGGGGGAATAGAAGATGGGAATAGAATCACCGGCACCAATCAAGACGTAAAAATTAGGTGATCGTATTCCGAGGGCAGCAAGAGAGGAGACTTCCATGCTTGGATTAAACAAAGCTAAACAGTAGTCGAGGTCGCTGGGAGATGCGAGATAGGTAAGCAGAAACAAGGCACCTACGAATTGAATGCGGACACAGAGTGATCGAGGGTGTGTTGCTCTCGAGAGGGGTAGAAGAAACATCTAAAACTTCTCGAGAAGGAAACACGAGAAATAAGCATGGATGGACGTGTGTGACTCATGGAAACCCGATTTGGGAGCACGAGATCAGGCCTCGACCACTATAAACTAATATATGGAAACATAAGGTATCATTCAGGCCAAATTACGAGGTTCTAAATCTCTATCGACGATGGGGTTTCTATTACCTTAGAATAGCCATTGGACATGTCCTGCACCACGCACCCAGAAGGAAGCCTGCGGCATTTCACGGTAGCAGGTGGAGCAGGTCGGTTGTCTCTGACGCCATCGACGGAGACGTCGACCACGGCCCAAGCGCCCTCGCTTAGATGCTTGCAGAACCTAAGGAAACTGACATCTCGAACAGGAACCAGGGGAGAGAGAACTTGAAGCTCCGCCTGCATCTGATGGGCAACAAGAGAACAAGCATGGTTACGGATATACGTAAATGGCTGAAACCAGATGATCGGAAATGGTCGCATGCAGGCCATATGAACTCACCAGCTGGAGAGCACCATTTCTAGTCCCGCCCATGCCGCTGGATATCACGTCGGTGGTCGTCGTTCTAGCGATCACAGAAGGGAACATATCTGCCCATCGAGCCTGGTCGTGAATCGAATATGAATTAGATATGAATCGATAAGGAATGGGCTCGCTGTTCGTATCCAGTGACCGTGAGTAGAATAGAGATTACCGCATCCATGAGGGTCTCGACGAGAGCCGGGCTATTGATGACGATCACGGCCGTCTCCCTCGTGGCCTCCGACACGAAGCCGGTAGGCCTTGCCCCGATGCACCCGGAAAAGCACCGGTAATACTCGTCGTAGTTTAACGCGTCGCTACCGGCTTCCAAGCCCGGAATCCAGAGTGGCTCCTCCATCTGGGCCATCTTCACCAGTTCATCCATGGCAGCGAGTGCAAGCTCCAAAAATACAAACCTCTCCTGCGCCTTGTCCACCGCGCCGGTGGCTCCGGCGCCAACCACCTGCGCTGGAGTTACGAAGGTGCCGACGGGGCTTGACGCCGCGGGAGTGAAATCAGTAAACGGAGGCAAAGTCGACGTAGCCACCGAACCAAGGCCGGCAAAACCATTTGTTCCGACCGCGAGCTCCAAGGACGAGTTTGGCAGCATCGGAAGAGGGAGCGGACTGGCCAAGGGGGACGCAGGCTTGCCGAGGAACTTTCCAGCGAGGGCACAAACACGGTCGAGCTCATCCTTGAGGCGAGCATTCTCGATTCTCAGGTGCTGCTCCTCGAGGGAGATCTCGCCGAGCACTGCGGGGCTCCCGCAGTTGCAGCATATGGGGTTCCTCATGGCATCCCGGATGGATAGGTTCTCCGCCCTAAGCTTATCGTTCTCCTGCCTAAGGATTGTGTTCTCGTGCCGTTCCAGGTGGGTCTGGTTTCCACGATTCGCGAGCATGTCAAAAAGAGACGAAAGGACCAACAAAAATCGAATTTTTAGGGAAGAGATGAACTGAGGGAGTACAAAAACCTTCATCTGGGTTCGTCGGTTCTGAAACCAGAACTTGACCTGGCGGGCCTCCAAGCAAAGCCGATTGCTGAGCTCCATCCTTTGCTTATCATCCGGATGAGGGCATTCCTTGAAGAGACTGGACATAGGGAACCAAAGTAAGCAGCTTTGGTTTGGGAAATGAGCGAGTGATATTAGGATGCGAACAGATCCCTTACGCTTCCAGTTCTTGGATCTGCTGAGGGGTGTGGCGGTGGTATCTCTTCCTCTTGCGAGGATGCTCCTGTTCCAGATCGTCTCCAGATCCACCTTCAAAGTTATCACTGCCCGCTCTACTCTCGTTCTCATCTTCCTTGCTCCGACGAACCGAATCCAGCTCTCCTCCAACTCCTCCGACACGAGCCAAGTTCCGTTCCCCGTGCGCCCCCAAGTTGGTTTGCTGCGCGAAGGAACCAAAGTCGCTCAGAAAAGGTGAAAGCGGAAAAGAAAGAACGGGAGGGGAAACGATGGGTTACCAGGGCGAGGGAGAGGCCAGGGGAGGCGAACATGGACTCGTGGAGCGAAGGCGAAACAAGGCGCCGTGGGTGCGACACGGAGTCGGCGGTGCCGCCGTACGCTATGTCGGCGACCAGACGGGCAACGCCGCCTCCGGAACCGTCGTCGAACAAACCCCCAAAAGTCATCAAAGATCTCCCCGTCTTTTCAACGTCGCTTCTTTCCGTTCAACGGCGCCTTCCCTTCCTCCGAGGAGCAGTGACGGCAGCACCAGATCTAATGAGTGCACAACTTTACTCGATCTATGCGAGGCGTTTAACAGTATCTCCACAACAAAGAAAAAGAAAAAAAGGAGAAACAAAAAAATGATTTAAGTAAAGAAAGATGGAAGACAGGCCAGTGGAGGCAGAAGCATAGACCGTGGTATGAACTATGTATGCCTCCAACTCCCTCTCCGTCACCTAATCAAAGGGCAGAAAGAAAGAGAAGGAAGCCAAGCAAAGATCGCTAGCACCTCGTTCTCCCCCCCTCTCCCTTCCCCTTTCCTACACCATCAAACCGACCCCAACAGAATAAAGAACACAGGGAAAAGAAAGGCACAGAACAAGAAAACAAATCTCCGCTTCTCACTACTGCATGGCTTTCCCGGAAGATCGAAGCTTTACAAGCTCAGAAACGGTGGACGACGGTGTGAAGTGGGCGAGGCGAGGATACCACAGAGGGGAGACGCATCTTTATATGCGGAAACTCCGAGGCCTAAGAAATGAAAGAAAAAGGAGAGCATCTCAGAGAAGAAGGAAAACGCGAGATCAGGAGATCGGTTGACCGTCGCCTCCGTCGTTCTCGTAAAAGATAAGAACAAAAAGTCCACACCTTCACATCAAAACTGGCACCTCGGTGCGAGGGGCAACCTTTTTCCGCACACCTCTCTTCCCCCCACCACCCTCCCCCCCCCCTCCCCACCCCTTCCGTCCTCCTCTTCCCTTCTCTCCTCCCTTTTATCCCCCTGCAGTAAAATAGCATCCAAACACTCGCAGGGCTCATGGAAATGGCAGCCAATAGCGGGAGGGACCCCCACCCCCCCTCTTATCTGCTCAAAGCGAACAAGAAAGCGATCGAGCAGAACGAAGAAGCGAGCAGCAGCAGAAAAAAAAGAACGAACAGCGTGGAGTCAGGAACGCGTCCAAATAATTTCCACCGTCTGATCTCAATCAGACGAGTGTGATGCGGAGATTGTCGATGTGAAGACTTGGTTGGGGAAGAAGAGCGTTCCGACGGTGGTAAATGATTGGCCGGGGGGATTAGGGCGGAGATCCACGGTCGGTGCACGGATCAACGGTGGAGGATTCCCGTCGCATGCGCGATCGCAGCGTATCCAACCGTCGCCTCAAAATCCCTTATCTTCTATTTCATCGTCACTGTCCGAATCAACCGCCACAGAAAATACCGTATAAATACTTAAAATTTGTTATTATTTGTTTGTAATGGAACGAATTCTATGGACATATTTTCTTTTCAGAAGATATCTTTTTGGTATTTCTCAAAGGATCTAAATCGGTTCTTTGATAAGATAATTACAGTATGTGTTTTTTTTTTTTTTTTAGAGGTGTCAAAAATATTTATATTTAATAATTTTCGTTTTTAAATCAATAAGGATTCTTATTTGAAATTCTATTATATTTTTATCATATTTTAAGTTTTTTTAATCAACTTATAGTGTTTTGATAAAAATATAAAAAAATGGTATATAAGTATATTTTAAAATATTATAACTAACAATAAAAATTTTATGCATACGGATTTGATTGTTATTATTTCACTTGTCTTCTCAAAGAGATATTTTTTTATAAATATAATATATATATATATATATAAGATTTTTTTTTTAGAATTCATTAGCTATTTTTGATCATTGT